AACTAAAAAACTCTTTCATTTTTAAACACCCCCCCCTTCTACAATGGATACACTTTTTACATTTGTGTAAAGTTTAAATTCTAACATATATTTGATTACACCCAATATCCACAAATAAGTATTTATCGAATTATGAAAACAATAAAGTAAGTATTAGGCAAAATTAGTATTAAAAAGCTAAACTTTTAAGCTTTTTAATACTAGCCAGATTTATTTCCGTTATGACATTTAGAATTAAAACTGTTTCCAAATATACAAAATTAATCTTTTAACATTCCCTTTTCCTTGATTTTTAACTTTATTCGTCTCTGATTTGTTTTATCTCCTTCTCGTTTTCAATATATTTCCTCTACCTTTCAACCAAAATTACTTTCCAAACGTTTAACAAAAATGCAAAAACTCCTTTTAAAAATTTTTAAAATTTAAATGTACATACATATTAGGGTATTGAATGGGGTTGAAGAAAATTAGTTAACCAAACAAAAAAAAGATGTTTATTTATTAAATATTTTATGCATTTTTTTATTTATATTTAACAAAAAAATATATTTATATTATAACATAAATTTATACCCGCAACGGGTAAACGCTAAACTAACACAAATTTGAAAAATAAAATTTCCAAAATTTTATTAAGAAATTAAATATTTTTTAATTATTTGTAATTGGCTAGTTTAGCGGTTTTTAAAAATTTTTATTTTTAACCTCTATTTAAAATTATCATTTTGGGGAAATTAAAGATACAAAATTCTGGATAAAATTTAGATAATTTTTTAAATAGAAAATTTTTTTAATTTCTCTAGAAAATTTCTTTTAAAAAATACCTCAATTATATATTTATGTACATTTATATATATAATTAGTGATTGATATTTGTGGCTAACTGATAATGATTCTAGAAATGGATAATTTAGAGGGGAAGGATTTAGAGTTTGTATTATTTCATAGTTTACATGGGTTTTCTACTTTAGATAGGCACCAAACATTCTTTTATCCACAAATGTCAACACTTATATTAATCAATTTATATTATCAAAACTAAAAAAACTTTTTTTTAAAGTTCTATTTTCTTTTGTAAATAAATATTTCATTTATTTAAACAAAAATATGTATATTTTAAAACCAGCAGCTATATGCTGAAAAATTGTGTTTAAAATCGAGTGCATCCATTATTGGAAATATCGCTAAGGTCGGAAAAAAAAAATTAAAAAGAGATGTATCTGGTATGAAGTATATCTATAAGTTAACTGTATCCTCGTTTAGACAAATAGGTAAAAATGTTTTAAATCAAGACTTTTTTTCCGAGTAAAGAATGGGGGGTGTTTACATCCATATAACTTCATAAGGTTGTAAGCAAATCTTAAGCAACGTTATATCATTCAAAAGATAATATACAATCTTGATAAAAAATAATTAACTAAAATTTCTGTTCTTTACAAGTTTTGAATTTGCTCATCTCCAGTCAAGACTCCCCCCCCTTACATATTTCTTTAATTTTTATTAAATTAAAATATTTTTAATTGATTTCTTTGATGTTAAAAGTGCAAGTCAATTAATCAAAGCGCATGCCATATATTGGCTATATCATTTGACTTTTTATTCTCTTCCTTTTTATTAATTCTAAAATAAATAAATATTTCAAAATAAATTTAAAAATAAAAATATATTCCAAAGAGAATATTTAATTCTAAAAATTATTACCGTATTTTCTCAAATAGTACTGCCCTTCCCCAATTAGTCTGACACGAAAAAAACAAACAATAAATCTGTTACTATTTAAAATAGGTATCAGGGGGTATATATTATCTTTTCTCTGAATAAAAAACATTTCCTTCCATTTAGGATATTTTAAAAATTCAAGAAGATTATTTTAAATAAATTTATTTATTAATATTATGCGCCATTGGCGTTTATTTATTTATTTTATAATTTTAAATATTTACTTTATTTGTGTTGAAAATACAACAAAAGGTTTAAAAATATTTAGTTTAATAATTTTTAATATCTCAAAATTTAGTTAAATCCTCAAAAGAATCAAAAACTTGGTTTAATTGGTTGGGCTCTAAAAATAAATCTAAAAATGAGGAATTAACGAGTAAACTTAATTATTTTTTTTTAAATTAATTTTAATAAAAACAAAAATATTAAAAAAATAAATAAATAATTATTCTGCTGTTAGGAAAGAAGGGAAGGAATTTAAAAATATTAGGGAAATGATTGTGGGCAAAACAGAAGTACATAAATGGCTTCTCTAGTTCATAAGTAGGGTTGTAGGTTTTACCAAATTTTTCGGTTAACCGAACCGACAAACCGAACCGAAAATCTTCGGGTTTTCAATTCAGTTTAGTTTGAAATCGTCAACCCTAATCATAGGATATTCTTGATCTTTTTCCTCTCTCTGGTGGTACATGAGCAGCTGTATATCACTTTACATTGGGCTGCTACCCTTAATCCTCCTACATGACATATGAATAGCAGAGAGGGTTAACTCACAATAAACTCGTCAGCATTCAATTAATCGACAAAGTTTTATTCCCTTAATAATTTCGATTTTTCGAGAACATTCAAAAAAAATTGCTTATATTTACCAAAATAAAAAAGGGAAACCCTTACTAAATCTACTTTAACAAATTTTTTTCAGAAGAGAAAATCCCTGTATTACCAAATCCAAAAAATCAAAATACAGAGGAAAACATAAACGAAGCTTTTGCCAGTTTATTAAGCTTGTGTAGTCAATTAAAAACAAAATCAAAAAAACAAAAATTTTTCAAAAAAGGAATTAAATTTTTTAAAAATTTAAAAAGAAAATTTATTTTAAAAATAATTAAAAATATTGGAAAAGAAGAAAAAGAAAATATTAAAAATTGTTGTGATCAATTAAACTTTAATGACCCTAATTCTGTTAAAAATTGTGAATCTATTGAAGAAAAAATGGAGAAAAAATTGAGAAAAAATAAAATGTTTAAAGAAATTTTAAAAGAAGAAGAAAAATATTTAAAAATAAAAATGGGGAAAAAAGGAAAGAGAAACAATAAAATATTGCCGGAAGGGCACAGTAGAACAAAACGTTCACTAAAAATTTTTAAAAAATCATTTAAAAAACCCTTAGCTTTGTTGAAGAAGGCAATTAGAAATTTTTTAAAACTGAAAGAATTAAAGAAAAAAATGAAAATATCGAAAAAAAAAGGTTTTTTTTTTTAATATTTTTCTGATTTTAATTAGAAAGATTATTCCTTTAATTTTTTAATTTGGAAACTAAAAAGAGAGAACAATTAGAAACTCAATTCCTATCTTTAAATCTTAACGTTTTTAGGTTTAATAACAAACCATCGCGACAAAAGGGGAGCTATATTGGAGGGAATTTCAGGTGGTTTATTAATTTCAGCAGGACTGTTTTTTGCTTATTTGGCTATATTTTCTTTTCTTGCAACATTTACGCCTATAAATATATTTGCCTTTGCTACTGGAATGTTTTTCTCAATGTTAACTTGGTTTTGTATACAAGCAGCTATTCCTTTATTGGAAGGATCTGATAATGGTTTTGATAGTAATATAGCAAGTTATTCACGAGAAGAAAGTTATTATGAGAGAAGTGACAGCCAAGGAGGTTATTTAAAACACCACAATATTAGAGAATATACGAGAGCTGTTACTAAATAAATTTGGAGAATGAAGGAATTGGGAAGAAAAAAAGCTCTTGTTAAATAAAATAACCAGTAAATTCTGATCAAATAACTTTTTTTCTCTAAACCCCTCGTTGAAATTCCACTGGTAAAATAACAACCTCTTATAAAACATATACCTATACCGTATTTTCTCAAATAATTCCCCTGGGGAATTATTTTTTCAACCCTTCCTTGGCATGGGGAATTAATCAAGGGAGGGGAATTATTGAGTTTTGGCATTTGAACGTTCAGTAGGGTATTTGGGGTGGGGAATTATTGTTTCAACCCACCTCTAGCATGGGGAATTAATCGAGAGGGGGTTCGAGGGAGGAGAATTAATCGAAAAATACGGTATTTGAGTTAAAGATGAAACCCGATTTTCACCCTACTCCCATCTTTTGTACAAAATAACTATCAAAATTGTATTTATTAAAAATTAAATATTCACTATAAAAATATTTTTAATACTCTCAAAATTTTATTTAAAAATACACTCAAATAATTTACTAAAATTAGTAAATACATAGCTACCTATATAACTTTTCTTAATATAGCAAAATATTGAAAATATTTATTCAAATTTTTCGTCATAAATAAATACAAATTTAAAACATCTGAAATTATATAATTCAAAAAAGGTAATCGATGAAACCCAATTTTAATAAAAATAATTTTTAAAAAATCAGAAAGTAGGTTAATATCTAGTATTTTAAAAAGATTTATTTACCCCCGTTTTATTGGATAAAATCAGAATTTGTGGATTTAATTATATAATTTCAAAAAAAAAATGTATAATTTTTTTTCGAATGTATAAGTTTAGACAAAATATTGACAATGAGCAACAACATTTTTTAAAAAAATAAATTAAATCGAAAATATTTTTAAGGCATTAAATGACATAATTTAAGATGTATGTATCATTAATAGAAACAAAAAATTAATTGTTAAGAGAATTATTTAAGAAGTATGTATTAAAGAATCGTCGATTTTTCAAAGAAAAAGAAGAAAAATATTTAAAATATTTTTAAGAAATTTTTATTTGATAATTTAGAAAGATAAAACTCGTTTTATTTATTGAGCTTAAATTGTATAAATAATTTAAAAATTTTGATCAATTTTTAGAAAAATAATCAAAAATATTTAAGAGATTAAAATAATTTAAGATGTATAGAAGTGATACATCTCTAAAATGGAAAAAAAAGTAAGTATTTGAAAAGATTTAATTAAACATAAATCTTTAAGTCCCAATTTCACTCACACTAAGAAAAGAAAAATAAAAGCTTCAAATCCACAAAATACATATTTCCACCAAATCAATTATCCTCCATTTTTTTATCATTTTTTATGCCAAGCTAAATGTCGATTTAGGTCTGCTTCTTTTTTGAAGACACTACCACAACCACGATGTGGGCAAGTAATTTGTTGTGGATCTAAAATAATTTTAAATTATTAAAAAACAGAGGAAATAAAAAGTTCATTGGTCCTGTCATATTCCCAATAATAGTTCCGTTCAACTAACTTATTTAACAAAAAGATGCTCAAATTTGAGAACCTTATTTTTGTGAACTCAAAATTTGAGGACCGAAACTTGAGTAAAAAATGTTAGCTGGCCATTTCTCAAGCAAGCCAGAATTCATCCCATTTTTTCTTTTTCGAGTCTGCAAGTTCGGGTCCGCAAATCTGAATCCGCAAAGTTCGGCACGCAATTTATGAAATCCCAATTAAATTTTTAAAATAATAATGATTTTATTTAAATAAACAGAATTTAAAGTAATAGGGTCGTTTTCCAGACCCATTTTTTCATCACTAAATTTTTTCTATATCTTTACAGAATGTCAGACTATTCCCTTTCTTCCATCAATTTTCCTTCCTTACATGCAATCAAGAATAAAAATGTGCTTGTAAGAAAAATATAAATAGGTAGTCTGACCATTCTGTATATATGTATACATAGAGGAAAAAATTTGGGGAGAAAAAATGTGGCCGGCAAACAACACTATTACCGAATTTACTACCAGGGTGTTGATGTTGTTTAACTGGCTTAGTTGGTCTCATTTTTCCTCCAGCAAAGCTTTTATGTTGAATTAAATTTGGAACAATTGGTGGATTGGAATATGCAACTTGATTAATTTGTCCCATGTTTGAGAAACCAGAAAGAGGCTGTTGATAAGACGAAAAAAGAACTTGAAATATATAAACATTTTAAAACTTTTTTTTATCTATTGCCTCCTGAGGATGAGATATGGCCACCTATAGGTACATAGACTCTCCTCGACCCTAAAATAATATAGGTATTATTTAACATATTCAAACATTCTCTGACATTCAAATAGCTTGTTTAAATTTTTAGCAGTTATTTTTCAATTTTTAAACTTAAGTATCAGAAAAATATTTTAATGTATTTACCAGTTGATGTCGATTGAAACAAAGAATCGTCTTGATTGTGAACACTAGTGTCAGTGGGTTCTACTGATGGATCAACCTATAATCATGAAATATAAAAATCAAAATAAGAAATTAGTCTGACATGGGTGAGGGGCAAAACTCAGTCTTCTAAAATACAGTCCATGTTCTGGCGGACTGTATTTTGTAGGAAGTGCTTTAGCCTGACACGGTCTGACAAACATATACCGTTTAATATTTAGAATGTCATAAACTTAAATTTTTAAAAGGATTTCGCTTTATATTGTGGTAATAAAATTTGCTTATGTCTACAATTTTTAACTTAAGAAAATTATTTACCATGTTGTGAGAACTTGAAGTGCCTCCAGACTCCTTTTCTTTTTCCTGACTTTCTAATTCACGGATTATTCCTTCTTCTTCAAGTTTTTGCATGGCAATTTTTTGTTTTTGTTGACCAAGTTGTTCTCTTTTAGTGTTAAAGTCAATTAGCTGCTGCTGATGTTCTTCTTCAAGTCGCTGTTGCTCATTATTTATCTCTTCTTCTTGGACTTGTAGGAGTTCTAGATTAATTTTATGTTGCTTCAAATCCTTCTTATTTTGATCCATTTTTGTTGTGTATTTAAATAACTTTAGCTGAAACAATTAAAATCTTTAAATTTTTAAGACAATTTTGTTAGTTTAATGAAAAAAAATAAAGAATAAATATAGAATAGATACATATGTATCAGAGATGGGACGAAATAAAAAAGTCAATTGAACTACGTTCAAAAAAGAAAATTTAAAAAAATCCGAAGCAGTTTATTTCAGTACCGGCCCAGTTCAGTCCCAAGCGATAAGTCGTAAAGGGGTGGTCACTTTTTAATGTTTGATATCATTGGATAGAATTAAAAATTAGAATTTTTGGCCGATTGATAAGAAGGTATGATCTAAAAAACCTTTTCAAAAAAATGGTTTCTTGACACTATCAATCATAATTTTTTTATAAATCGATCAAAAATTTTGATTTTCTGGTATTTTGTAGTGTGTTTAATACTACACTAAAAACATTAAGAATTATCCACCCTTTTAGAAGTTATTGGCCTCGGAACTGAACTGAGCCGGGACTGAACTGAGGTGTACCCAAAGATTCGAATTCTGCCTACAATTTTGGGAATAGAACTTTCAATACATTGGTTGTTTAGAGTAGATTCTAGTTCAGCAGATTCTTTTGTAACCGAATCCGAGAAATTGGGGGAGCTAATTTGTGAAATATAGATGCTCGATAGAAAATTGCCAGAAAAACGAAAATATCAGTTGGCATATTTTGGAAATCTAAACGGAGCAAGCATACTTAATCGATTTCTTTGACGTAAAAATTTAAGAATCTATCGAGCAACATAAAAGGGGTACGGCCCACTTAGTCGCGCGGCCACTTAGTCGCCGAGCCATAACTTGCTTTAAGATTTCCGAATCTTTCCAAATTTGGTATTAAACGATTCCTCTCATCGAGCTAAAGAGATTGGTACCAAAATTGATAAGGGCCAGAAATTTTTTAGCAAGTTATGGCTCTGCGACTAAGTGGCCGCGCGACTAAGTGGGCGTGTCCCACATAAAAGATGTATTAATTTATTTTCTTAATCAATCTTTATATTTTGCCGTCCATTGTGAAAATATTTGGATAGATAATTAATATTTTTATTGATGTTTGAATATATATAATATGAATAAAACATAAAACGGCAAGTTTAAAAAAGGGAGAGAGCTTTCAAAATTACACGCTCCTTGACTGAATTTCAAAAAGATTATAAATTTGCTCGAAGACCATTTCCTTAATATGTACAAAATAAAATTACAAAACAAACTAGTAGAGATATAGAAATTCTTATGAAAATTGAAATACAATATTGTTAGATGGGGTGAACAAAAAACTAAGGCACAATGTTTGTTATAAGAGAAATTGATTATTGTCTGATGTTTCTATTTCAGCGTTTATGTTAAATTAATGTAAGGCCGGCGAAGTTAAATCCAAAATATGTAGTTGAAAAAATAACAATTATAAGCAACCTAGTTCATAAACATAGGTGGTAGGATGGATGAGTGTTTAGAAAAGGCTCCCATACAAAATACCGAATTCTTAAAATATGGAATCTCAAAATCGCGAATCGGCTAAAAAAGCTCAAAATATGGAATCTCAAAATATCGAATCTCAAAATATGGAATCCCAAAATATCGAATCGGCCAAAAAAGCTCAAAATATCGACAATGCGGCAAAAGCCAGTTGAGTCTGAACAATTTTATCAACAACTTCGAAAAAAATTTAAAAATATGCAAAAGGGTTTTTCTAGGGTAAAAAATATGCTGATTACGAATCTGAGCTCGGATTTTGAAAAAGTCGAATCCCAGACCATGAACCGAGCTTCGAATCCCGAACCGAATTTCGATTTTCCGAATGATAGCTCATTTGAAAGAGCACGACGAGCTGCATCGACTGATACCAAAATCAATGAAATCCGACTTTATTGGACTGAGATACAGACCCCTGAATAAACTGAAAAAGACCTGCACTCAATTGGCGGCACTCAAACGGCCCTTTTCGATTTAAAAAATTCGACATTTTTAACTACTTTTTAGCCGATTCGGTATTTTGAGCATTTTAGCCTATTCGAGATTTTGAGATTCGATATTTTAAGATTCCATATTTTGAGCTTTTTTGGCCGATTCCATATTTTGAGATATTTTTCCCGATTCGGTATTTTGAGCTTTTTTAGCCGATTCGCGATTTTGAGAATTCGGTATTTTGTGCGGGCACGTTAGAAAAGCTTTCGGGATCAATCTAATCCAATCTTTTGCCATTATGAAATATGCCGTCTGCTTGGTAATTAACATGACCGAACATGTGAGAAAAACTAATCAATTTGACTAAACCTCGAAACTAGATCTCTAAATGTCTCAAAGCCTTTCAAAATATCGCGATCTCATGAAGATAATCGTTCTCATGCTGAACACACACACACTCTTACTGTTTTAATGTCACTTTTTTCTAGCAGTCTCGAGATTTTAACGCGTCGATATTTTGACGATTCGATGTTTCAACCCATTTTTTACCGTGCGAGATTTTAACTAAACGATATTTTAACCAGTCGATATTTTGTACCGGAGCCAGATAAACAAAGTGAAGATGGGCGGGTCGGTTTTTGAGGATGAACAAGAAGCTCATTTACGGTACACCTCGTTTCGGCGCACATAACTGGGCGTGGGTTATTCGGCGCAGCTTGGTTTCGGCGTTTAGGGTAAAAAATTCAATTAAATGTTAGTTCATTCGAAAGAGCTGTTCAGCTGAGTCAAATGACACCAAAGTCAACGCGATCCGACTTCGTAGTGCCGAGTTAAAGGCTCCCGAAAATTGAAAATTTTGAGTTTAAAAATTCGGTTACCCGACACTTGCGGAACGACATTTGCGGATCGACAATTGCGGATTGAATTTTGCGGAACGACATAAGCGGACCCGACATTTGCGGACCGACAGAAGCGGATCGACTTTTGCGGACCGACAGATGCGGATTAACATTAGCGGATCCGACATTTGCGGACCTGATAATTTTTCAAAAAAATAAAAGTCCTTTACTTTTGTAAAACTTTCGTCCTGAATATTGAGATCGCCTTGGGCTTGTGTCTTCGAAGATTTTCGAATTTGAACAAGAAAAAGGTTCTATTCCCAAAATTGTAGGCTGATTCAACATTTTCACCGGCCAGACCCGGTACCCTGACATTTTCGACACGCAACCCGATCCAAAGAAATATTTGCAAGGCGAAAAAATTTGAAAATCCTCTATTTTTTTAATCATTAGCTGATCCGCAAATGTCGAGTCCGCAAATGTCAATCCGCATCTGTCGGTCCGCAAATGTCGGTCCGCATATGTTAATCCGCAAATGTCGGGTCCGCAAATGTCGATCCGCATATGTCAGTCCGCAACTGTCGATCCGCAAATGTCGTTCCGCAAGTGTCGGTACACCAAAAATTCGAACATGCAAATAATAGCACATTCGAAAGGACCAGACAAGTTGAGTTGAATTACACCAAAATCAGCTCGATTGAATAATTATGAACAAAGTTACCGTAGCGAATCGGCGGCCGCTCAACATGCCCGGCTTCCTCCGCAACGGCAAAAACTTTTTCCGCGAAAGATGTCCAAACAAATTTTTGGAGTAAAAAATCGAATATACAGAAAACAATCCGATTTAATGAGTCTGAACAAAATTATTATATAAGTGACGCCGAAACCAAGCTGCGCCGAATAACCCGCGCCCAGTTGTGCGCGCCGAACTGTGGTGCTCAGGCTCATTTACCCTAAACTCCAGACTCTAACGGTCTAACTTTGAAAGGCTAAACCGGCCCAAAGCCACTTTTCAAGAAAACGGATATCACTTCCCAATAGGAAGTCAGGATAAGCTCGATGGATAGCTCGACATATTATTTGTTAGAATTTACTTACAATATTACTTAAAATACCTAATGTGATTTTAAAAGCTAATTCATAGACGAAACAAGCTGGCAATAAAGGAATAAATATATAAGATAATATAATTTATAAAAATTCCATAATCACTCCGTGAAAAAATCTAGATTTTGTTTAAAAGTCAGTTTGATTAGCAACGCAGGTAGAAGTTAATTTCAAAGATATTGTTAATACTAAGTTAGATAAAGACAATTTGTTAATAAAAATATTATATAAAATTCAAATATTGTTCTCACAAGAATTTGAAAGTTAAGAAATTGAAAACTCATTTTTTACCATTCTTTAAAACCTTCCAAATATAAATCAAACTTGAATTTTCTTATTTTCATATTTTTACAAATTTTTGATATAAAAATCCCAATAATTCCAACCTTTTTATGAAGAACTTCTCTACAAAATACATTGATAATAGAAGAGGAAATTAATATATTTTTAACAAATTTAATTCGAAAAACAAAACATTTTTGTTTTATTTTCGAAATATTCATTCCTTCTTTTATCTCTTCAACCTCCTCTTTTATAATTATATTTGGATATCCACAAACTGATTTAAATATATCAACAAGCAATTCAAGTGAAATTGCCTTAAATTGTTGTTTTTGTTGAAACATTTTTTGATTTAAAAAATTTGTTGAGAATTTTTAATTAAATTTTTATTAATAAAAAATATTTATTAGATCAATTAATTTTTTCTAATCTATAAAATAAGGATGATCGTCAACTGAAAAATAATAATTTTATTATTCTAAAGTTAATCTCTATGATTGTGATATTTTCTTAAAAATTGTACTAATAAAGCAGACCTGGTTATGAATACGGATACAGATAATACCAAAATGCCTGCGGATATCCGCCTGTATCCGCCGTAAATATCCGGATACGGACACCAAAATCAGTATCCGTGACCAGGTCTGTAATGAAGTCAAACTAAACTTGAAAAGCTCGAGATTTTAAAGAATATAAGCATATATCTGTTCTTATCCAATCAAATATTTTTCGAATTATTAAACTCTTATGCTAAGAATGTCAAAACATTCATCTAAACTCAAGTCAAAACATTTTTAGCTTATGTTTTTAGTAAAATGTTTAACAAAACATTTTTACAAGCATTTTTATTGATTTTGTTTATAACATTAAGCCTTCCTTTTGAGTCTTCTATTTTTATTTTTGGCTAATTTCCAATTGTTCTTCTACAATATTTTATCAAATCGGGATTGTTTCAATTTTAAATTGGTAGACAGGGATTTTTTTCAGTTTTCCATACATCTTGATTTTTGGATTCAAAAGTCAGCAAAAAGAAAACTCAAAACAAAAATTATATACCAAAAATATAAGTATAATCAAAGATATAAGTAAATATTTATCTAAGATAAATAAATTTAATTATTTTAAAAATAATACAAAAATAAACAATTCAAGTACATACAAATATTTCTTTAAAAATCCAATTTCTATTAATTATTAGTAAAATTCAAGCAGCAACGCTTGCTTTAAAAATTGCCGAAATAAGTGCCTAAAAATTAAAATATTATTAAATTTATTTAAATTTCCAAGATAATTTTTGGTTATTTTATTCTTATTTTGAAAAAAAGAATTTTATCAACGTCGGGTATGGCAGGACCGGAGATGTTTCGAAACAAAAAATCTTCGAAAATCGGAAATCGAAAGGAAAAAAACCTCGAAAATCGAAATTTCGAAACATCTCTGGACAGGACGGTACTTTATGGATATGTCACCCCCCTCCTATTTTGAGTCTCATGGTTTTCCTTAAACGTAGAAAATGGTCAGTGATTATTTTCTTCTCAATGTCAATCATTTTTTTCTTCTTCAAGCATTTTGCTTGTTTACTTTGCCTTTTCGCATATTTTGTACTTACATTTCACTCATTTCGGTTCTACATCTACTATATTTCACTTATTTTGCTTGAAGAAAGAAAAATGATTGGCATGGAGAAGAAAATAATCTCTGACCATTTTCTACGTTTAAGGAAAACTCTGAGACTCAAAATAGGAGGGGGGGGTGACATATCCATAAAGTACCGACAGGACTCCCGACCTCGAAAAATAAAGCTTTCAAAGGGAGATAGATAAATTGTATATTAATTTAATGGTGATTACTTAAACTATCTCAAATGGATAGATAATTTAAATTTTAATAGAGCACCCCCTTTTTTACAATTTTTACTGGAGGGTCAATGAATTTCAGCAAAAATATTTTTTAAAGAAAACACACCTCAGAATCACTTAATTTAATATCAAAATTATTAAAAATTCTTCTTTTTTGATTTATCTCCATATTTTCAATTAAAGCATTTGAAGCAAAATAACGCAAAGATGGAGGTTTCAACCAAAATTTTTGTAGACAATTAACTCTTGTTTGGGAAAGGGGATCTTCATCTACACAACCACCAAAAACATAAACACATCCATCTTTTGTTAACGTAGAAGAATGGAAATAAACGGGGATAGGCAAATTTGTTTGCAATTTTTTCCATTTTAAATTATTTAAATTAAAACGCCAAACATCGTTGAGTAATTGCTGCTTTGTTATTAATTGGTGGTGGGGATGTTGCTGAAGAAATATTTTTTGTGAAAAAATTTTTTCCTTGTTTTTCTTTCTCAAAAATGTTCAAAGCTCCTCCACTATTATCGGGTGGGGGATTTTTAAAATATTCCATGATTAAAATAGCCCGACACACTATTATCTATTTCTTTTATCCCTTTCATTATCCCAATATTAAATGACTATCGATAAAGTATTTATTTTTTACCAATTGTTGTTCTAAATTATCACGACAACCGCCAATAATATAAACATCATCATCTAATTGCACTAAGGAATGGCATTTTCTGCCTAAAGGAAATCCAAAATTTGAATCAGGAATTGTTGGGCAATGTTCAAATTTGCGTTCAGAAATGTTGAAAACAAGCACCTAAAAAATGTAAAAATATTTTAAAATAAAAAATCTGAATCTTTTCAAAAAAAAATTTATGAATATTCAAAGTAGAAAATAAATCAAAAGCCAACTTCTCTCACTCTCTCACCTCATTAAATTCTGCACAAAAGTCTGGGGCACCACCACCAAAAGTAAAAATCTTTTGGCCATGCAAAACAGCTTCTAATCTATAACGGCCAGGTTCAAATCCATGTCTCTTAAGTAAAACTTTTTTCAAATCATTAAAAAAATTTTTTTCGTTACTAACATTTAAGAGTTTGGCTTTCCAAGGAGAATTGGGTATTTTACAAGGCCGCTCCATTCTCCAAATATCCATATTGTATATATGACCTTTAAATATTTTTTTTTAATTTGTCGAAAATCATGAAGAAATATTTTTCTTTTTTTCTGTAACAAAAAATTAATTTTACAAGCTCTCCCTTCTAATAGTAATTATAATTTAAATCAAAAATATGTTTGTAATCAAATAAACCAGGGCTCGCATTCCTACTTTTTTAAAAGTATTTTACTTTTAAATCGACCTCCATGCTTACGAAATTGAATTTATACTTTTTTGAAAGTATATACTTTTTTTTTGATTGAAAATGAAATTGGGGAAGGGATTGGGCAAAAAAGTGAATTTTCTGGCCTACGGCCTCCAAAATTATCAAAATTTTCGCCTGCGGCGCAAAAAATAAAAGACTTGCGGCTTAGGCGCCACAAAAGGTGCATTGAAATTGGCAAAATGCTCAGTCGAAACAAGAAATTATTAGAAAAGATTAATTTAGGAGAAAAATATGAAAGATTTGAGGACGAATAAATATTTTATAATTTAATTTTGAGACTACTTTTTTTTGCAAATTTTCTCCCTATATGTATACTTTTTAATCGAGATTCTGATACTTTTGAGTGGCATTTTGTCGATGCGAGCCCTAAAATAAACCATCAAAAAAACAAAATCCTACCACTAGTCCCCCCAGCCAAATAAATAACTTGATACGGAGAACCATCAGAATTTAATTCAATTCTGTGACACATTGCATGTCCATACATTCTTGGAGGATATTCCTCCTCTAATAAATTTTGATTATCGGGTAAATAAACAAAATTTTCATTTTCAATTTCATTATTAATTTGATTTTCTGCTTCCAACTAGACAAAGAAGAAATATTCTTTAAAATTAATTAATTATCTACATTTAAATGTATTTTTCCATCAACATCAATTTTAATTTTGTGTAATTTACTCGTTGCTTTCTGACCAAAAGGAAAGCCAGTTCCCCCAAAAATAAAAATTTCATTTTGTGAATTATTTGAAATAACTGGAACTAAGGAAAATGAAGCTAAAGTATTTGGTAGAGGATTTGTTTGGTCAAAAAGTGAACATTGTTGCCATTGACTCGTTAGACGATTAAAACGCCAAACATCAGTACTTTGTTAAAAAAATATTTTTTTAGATAAATTTTTAAAAATTATTATTAAATTCTATTTTATTTTTTTTAAACACTGATTAAATTAATTATATTTTATATTAAAAAATTAGCAGTTTTTATTTTTAATATTATTGAGTACAGAAATCCAAAAAAATTTTTAAGAAAAAACTATGCATACCAAAAAGGATTTTTTGTTTTAATTTTTTCAGTTTTACTTGCCTTAGAAAAAATTTTTTAATTCATAATTTTACCCTTAAATTTGGATAAAAAAACTAAAAGTGTATACTTGGTAATAATTTTTGTGTACTTGGTATAATTTTTTTGATTGTCTACTGAATGATTTCTTTTTTTTTCTATCATTAATCTCCCTCCACCCACCAAAAATTTTTCATTTCCTATCAAATCATTTAAAAACTTACTAAGTTTTATCATTATTAAAAGCATAATTATAGCCCCCCAAAACATAAATAAAATCAAAATCTGCAAATATTCTATGTCCACTTCTAGCTATTGGACCTTCAAAAAATATTTTCTTTTAATTTTTCTCTTAAAAAATTTTCTAATCTTACAGCAATTGCAACATTCTAATCTTCTCGAAGGAATTATTTTATTTGAAATTTTACAATCAAAAATTTGAACAATTTTAAAATTATTTAACAAAATTGGGGTATTTTTCTTCTAAAAAATATTTTTTTTATTTTAAAAATTAAATTAAAAATTTTACAGAAATAACTGGAACATCTTGTGACGAATTTTTGTGAATTTTCTGATTTGAACGCATAAATAAAATTGGACCAACAGTTACTAAACGTCTTCTGAATCCTCTAACAGGGTTAAGAGTTTCTGATACCTGAAAACATTTATTTACATAATATTTATTTTTACATTTTGCCAAAAATATTTGATAAAAAATTATATCATTTATGTAAATATCGTGTGATTATTATGTTTAGTATTATTAATATTTTATCGTGTGATATAAGAAAAGATAAATTCCCAATTTCGGGAATCGGGATTCCCACCGCAAAAAATGTCGGGAATAAATAGATACATATAATTTATTTTCTAACGTGATTTTCTCCGTTTAATTCAAGTGAAGAAGTTGTATTTTTCCTTTTTTGTTTTTTTCTTAAAAATGCGCTCAATGAGCAAGTAGGTGTTTGGGTAGGAAATACTGTTATAATAGACATTCGTTGTTATCAGTAAAAAATTATTATTGTTCGTTGTAATGAAAAAATGAGAGGTAGGGAATTGATATAATTTTGATTAAATCTTTTTTAAAAAAATAAAATTTTTGTAAAAATTTAGGATAAAAATAATTATTAAATTTTTAAATATAAAAATCCAAAAATTAATTAAAAGAAAATACCCCCAATTTTCAATTCTCTTTTTATATTTATTTATTAAATTTTTTTGATTGTCTACTGAATGATTTCTTTTTTTTCTTTCCAATTCATTAAACATTCCCCCCTCGTTTTTCTATTGAATTAATGTGAGTGCAAAGGTGATTACGCCATCAAAAATTGTCTTTGATTATATAGCGATCTATCATTTTTAATTTAATAATTTAAATTAAATTAATTTATTAAATTCAATTAAATTTGTTGTAATAATTTTAATTAATTTTTAAATTAAATCAGAAATTAAGTTAAATAAGTTAAAAAATAAAAAGATATTAGTAATTTTTAACTAATAATTTTTAAAGGAAATAAAATTTTAAATTTTAGATAAGAAGAGAGAGTTTGGGGATATTAATATTTTGGATTTAAAAAAAGACAAAACTCTTAGCTTTAAAGTAAGCAGCTAGGCCATAGCTATTTCTCTCCTCAGCTAGTGCAAAAGGTTAATCGGGGCTGGGAGCGAACCAGCATCTTCAGTACACCGGACTGATATGTTAGCTATTACACCACGCCGCCTACTGCACAGCCTTAGGAATTAAATATGCTTTAAATAAGTTTAAATATTCTTAGAATAATTTCTTTACTGCAAAATAGTTAACTAAGTAGGTTATAATTTCGCCAACCAGAATTTCAGAAATTTAACTTCAAATAGACAATCAATTTTAAAAATATTTAAGTTATTAATAATTTGTTTTGTGTTCCAATTATAAAAATTTATATTATCCAACCTTAAAAAAATTAATTAGAACTAGTTTTTCAATTAATTGTTTAGGGTTCAATTTTGTCCTTGAAGAAAATAAAAATTACAAAAATAAAAACAAAGTAAAAGCAAAGGAAACATTAATTAATTTAGCAAAATAATATTTAAAATAATTTTAGAGAGTATTTATTACACAATATTTTATTTTTTTAGTTTATGTAGTAAAATTAAAAAAAATTTTTCTCACATGCTTAAAGCGAAAAAAACTTGATTAAAAATAATTAATCAGTCAATATTTTAACAGAAAAAAATTAACTATAAAAAACAAAATCATATGGAAATTGAAGCGAAAATCGTTTGACTTCAAAAGGATTTTGGAATTTTTTAAAAATAACTTCAAATTAACTTAGGACAGGTTTAAGAAAATTCCCGTCCCAAAAAACTGCCATAAGCCAAATAATGTGTTGGAAAAAAAGGTTATGAAGTTTTTATTCAGATTGGAAAAATTCAATCTCAACTCCTCAAAATGTCTAAGAATACTTCAATACCTATCCAAATATAAAATAGTACAAAATGAAAATATATTTATGCCTTTACTTAGTTTTTATCAATTACTATTAAATATTAAGAATGTATAGAAAATTTTAAATAATTTTATTATTTTAAAATGACTATTAAAAAATTCATTTTTATGACTAGTAGAGGTAAAAATTAAAAAAAAACAAATATAGTAATTGCTGCAGAGATTGACAAAAAATATACAAAAATCATAGAGAATATAATTTCATTTGTTCAACCTAAAGATAAAAATATTTTTAAAATTAAAAAAACATCAATCTTTACCACTTCCTCTTTTGCCTCAATTCCAAATTTTTCTTTCTGTGCCTCCATCATTTGAAAAATTTCGGCCAATTGTTTTTGGCGAATTTCTTGTTCCTTTAAATTAAGAAAAAAAAAGATTTGGACATATTTTTGAGGTTATTTAAATTGTTATGTTAGAGCCTTTAAATATATGAGTAGGGTTGTCGGTTCTTGGAAAATCTTCGGATACCCGGAATCGAAATGAAGAACCGAACCGAAAAATCATCGGTTCGGTCCAGAACCGTAAGCTCTATATATGAGGGTTATTTAAATACCTTTATTCGTTCCTCTTCAGACATGCTCTGTTCGAGCATTTGAGTTTTAACTCGAAGTTGGGCTGTTGCAAGTTTTCCATGCAATCCATTCTCAACTAATTTATTTAATGCTTGTGCTGTTTCTTAAAATTAATTTTAAAAAATCTTTTTCCCAAAACCCCTTCCAACCTGGATCGGGATCTTTAAATTGTTTACGCTTCTTTTTCTCCTAATTAAATTAAATTTTTAAAAATATTTTAAGAAATTTTTTCTTAAACTTTTTTATTTGGAGGATTATTAATTTCTTCCAATAAAGGCATCTTCTCCTCATCTTTCCCCTCACAATAATTAATATTTTCTTCTTCTTTTTCTTCTTCACTTTTTAAATTTTTAGAAACTTCATTTACTTCATTCTTTTTATTTTCACCCAAATCCTCCTCTTTAATAACAACTAAATCATCTCTTGAAATAAATGGACAATTTTCCTTTAAAAATTAAATAAAATAATTTTTCAAGTAAATTATTTACATCTCCTAATATTCCCGAATTTTTAGCATTTTGACGGAAGGATTCCATTAAAGACTTATTAAAAAATCCGGTCATTCCATCTGGTAATTTAACAGTTTCATCGACTTCTAAAAATAAATTTAATAAATTGAAAGTATATTAAATTTACCATCAATCTTTGCAAATAATTTTGAATTTTTGATTAATTTCGCTCTGAATAAAAAACAAAAATTATTAGAATTTTCTAGATAAAATTTAAAATAATTTTAATTCCCTAAAAGAATTTTAACATTTTTGTAAGTGTATTAATTTTATCTTTTATCATAGGTTTTTATTCAGCTTGATTAAATTCATTAATCATTTTTGTTTAAGAAATCGAATACTTGACAAAAAAAATTAATTTTTATGACTACCTAGTAGAAGTAAAATTTAAAAACATCATTTCATTTCCTCAAACAAATTAGGGATATTTTTTAAAAACTTCTATTTAGCTATAATTTTTCTAGCTATAATATTAATAATTGCTTGACTCTTTATTCTTATCGCAAAATTCGATTAATGAAACTTAAGTGCTTAACGGAAACCTGAATTTAGAAAAATATTCTATTTCTAGACCAACCGTTTGTAGTCATTCCACTTCCTCAAAACAAAACTCATAACAAACGGCAAAATAAGGGCAACAATAAAAGTAATCCCATAAAGAGAAAGTAATTTAGGGTCAATAAATATTTGTTTCAATGCCTCAAATAAATTTGTTATTGGTTTTTGTTGTTCCATTGGAAGATTTTTTTGAGGGACAAAAAATAAATATTTTGAATTAATATTCCAACGTATTTGAGGGAAGGGAAAAGGAAGAAGCTATCCCTTATAAATTAGATCCATTTGTTTCCGAGGTAACGAAAGTTAAAGAAGCCATAATACTAAAAGAAAAGATTAAAAATATGTATTTAAAGACTTTTTTAATAATTTTAAAAATATTTGAAGGATAAAAAAATAATAAAATTTTAAACAAAATTTTCGAAAACTTTGAGCAAAATTAATTTTTATCCAATTAATTTTTTATAAAAGAACAATTTATAATATATCTGTTAATTACATAAAAGAGAAGTTTTTGTATAACAAGAAGACAGAATGTGAGTACAAAATAATTGGAATTAGGGGATTAACACAACGAAAATAAAATACAAATCACAACCAGGGTTGTCGTTTCCAAACCACTAAAATGGGGCGCAGCCACTCAAAAATAGGGAAAAAATAGGGCGAACTCGGTCAAAAATATGGCAAAAAATAGGGAATTATTTTAAAAACATAAGAATAATTAAAATTTTAAATAAATTTCTAAAAAAACAGAAAAGTTCAGATAGAGACCGGACTGGGAATGTTGTACGAGAATTGTACGAGATATCTCAAATTTCGAAAAACTGAAATTTTTATCGTACGACAATCGTACGAGATGTCTCGAAAAATCTCGATAATCAAGTTTTTCTTCAGGATCTTAGGAACCAATAGATTTCTTCCATTTTTAGCAAAATTTTGAGAATTTTGAAAAGCTATGAAGCCAGATTTTTTTAGCGATGATAGGAGAGAGGGAATTTTTATATCCAAGAGTTAGATTTCTTTGTTTTTCCGCATTTTATTCACAAAATGCTCAAAAATTTGAAAAATATTACAAAATGTTAAAAATAGGGCAAAATATGGCAAATGTATAAAATAGGGAAAAAATAGGGCGAAATGATCAAAAATAGGGAAAATCCCCTATAAATAGGGTAAAACGACAACCCTGATCACAACGCATATACTTAAGATAGGATAAATAATTCTGTCTAGAAAGTTTATTTTTTTCAAGTTATATCTAAAATAACCATGAGGCTTTTAATAGATGTCAGGAAAGAATCAAAAAAATGCGTTACCAATTATAATGAATCGGCGAAAACAAAGAATAACAATACAATTTCACATTTTTGAAATCAGAACAAAAACTAACTTTAATCGAACTAAAGTAAGAGTTCAGTGCTATCCTAAATTTAAAACATCAAGGAAATTTTTGAAATATGTGCTTTAGTATAGCTCCACCGAGATCGAAACTCGATTCCTCTCGCTGAACTTTCAAATATGTAAGAATTTCTTGCGGGAGACGAAAACTCGCAGAGATATAGGCCCCTGAAAATCGAAAAACCAAAGTGGTGACCAAGCTGTTTTGTCTGTGGAAAAAGTTTTTGCCCCTGCGGAGGAAGCCGGGCATGTCGAGAGATTCTGGTTGCCAGGCTATGTATAATTTCATTGTCAACAAAACTATAAAACAGCTTGGAGAATTTCTTTGGATGGAGGTTTTTGCTTTAAATTTATAAAAAAAATTTTTTAGCTTATTATTAGGATTTCTTCACTCCCGATGTGAAGAATGATGTCGTGTATTCCCCGGTTACTTTATTTGCTCTTCGATCGCCATTACAATATAATTAAAGACCAAGGGCGTAGACAGGGGGAACAGGGGCCTGGCTACGCCCCTGGTCTTTAATTATATTGCAATAGCGATCGAAGAGCAAATAAAGTAACCGGGGAATACACGACATCATTCTTCACATCGGGAGTGAAGAAATCCTAATAATAAGCTAAAAAATTTTTTTTATAAATTTAAAGCAAAAACCTCCATCCAAAGAAATTCTCCAAGCTGTTTTATAGTTTTGTTGACAATGAAATTATACATAGCCTGGCAACCAGAATCTCTCGACATGCCCGGCTTCCTCCGCAGAGACAAAAACTTTTTCTGCGTATAGTAAAGTGGTAACTATTTTTAAAAGTTATACCATGTTTCTGTTTGAAACATAGTATAAAATTTCATTAATTAGAGAAGTAAGGGGAAAAACTTGCAGTTAAACCACAAAATAAAATCCAAATTAAGGTCCCCTCAAGTCCTGATTTCACACAAAAAAGGTCTTAAAACCACAACTTATTCACCGGCAAACAATATTTTTACTTTTACATAGATTTTCCTCTTCGTTTCCACATCCATTTATTTATTGAAAAGAGCCAATATCTCACTAGTTGATTTTTTTGCATCTAGAAAATAAAACTATTTTAAAGAAAATTACTTTTGAATTACCAGAAGCAGCAGGAATAGACGAAAACGTTGTAGAATCTGTTGCACTCCCTTGAGAGGTGACTAAAAAGAATATTAAATGAGCATGAACGGAAAATAAAATAATTTATTTACCCTGATTTTCAGTGCCAGCAACTGAGCAAAGATTAAAGTCTATTCCTTGTAAATCCAATCCAATAGAATTTTGTGATTCGACTTGAGAATTTACAGCATTCAAAGAATTATTTGGAATTTTATTAAAGTCGGGACTGCTAGTCCTACAAACAAAAAAAATATAAAATTGTTAATAAAATTTAGAAAAAACCTTCTCTGCTCAGTTCCAACATTTACTTGTTCCGTTCCAGAAAATACTCTAGAGAACATATCATTGTTGGCATTATTGAAATTTGGAGAAGATTGAGAAAACGGTAAATTAGGAGGCTGAGGAGCGAACAATTGACTTTGTTGTTGATTTTGAATATTTGGAGCTGCCGAAACGATTGGACCAAACAAATCGTCAATACTGTTGGAATCTTAAATTAATATTGACGAAAATTTAAAAATATATAATTTATTATAATCAATAACAACCCAATTTTTTAATTTTTTTAATATTTTTAAGAGGAAATGATAAAAACCACACTAACCTCTCTTCATTCCTGTTTGATTCAAAGAAAAATGTCCACTCTTTGGCAAAGAAACGAAATCAATTAATTGCGGAATTTCAGTCTGAACATGGTCTGATTGAGAATTAGAATCTTGACTTGATTGTTTAGATGTTGTTGAAGTACCTTAAATTAATATTTTTATTTAAAATTAAGAATAAAAAAAACTTTTTGGAACAGTCGAAAAAGTTGCAACAACTTTTTTGTCGCGTACCATTGATCCTGGATATGTAGGTAGATCGGCAATATCAACAGGTGGATGGATCCATCCTTTCATTATGTATCTTAAATGTGAAGACCAAAGATTAATATTTGGGTTGTTCCCAACCGAATAAAGATTCTCGGTTCACATTTTACAAAATTAAACATTCATACCTTTTTGCCTCATATTTTGCCCGAATAAATTGCTCCAAAGATTGATCAGTCTGAGGACGTCGAAATAGCGGAGGCAATTCATTTTCATATACAGCACGAGCCTTTGCATTACCCATAACCTTAAACGTATAGTAAAAAAGAATATTTATGTAAAAACTTACTCGCATACTCTGAACCTGTTCAGATGTCCAAGAATCTAAAGTCACCGATTTAACCTATTAAATTATGAAATTCCTTTTTTCAAATTAAAGTTAATTTAAACCTTCGAAATGTGAACACCCAAATTTCTGTGTAACCCAGCACAACGAATGCATAAAAATACACCGAGATTCCAAGAAGCCCAACGAGGCTGTTTTTGTTCACAATCGGCACAATATTTGTTTTCTTCCTCGCGAAGCAACTCCTGTAAGAAGCCTAAAAAAGCTAAGGAATATATTTATTAATATAAGAAAAATAACCTTGAAGTCTTTCAGTTTCAACCTTTTTCGCGTCAGCAGCTTTATGTTTCGGTAGAGGCATATTTGTTGAAAAATAAATTTAAATATTTAGAAATAGTAGAAAGCCTTGCTGAAATAAATAAAATATTATTATAGTGTTCTTAAAACAATTCACTAACAAATAAAAAATTCAAATCATTTATTTTCTGATAGTGCGCTTGCATAAAAGATGAGTCGTTTGTTTTTAGATAATTCAAAGAATTTGATTACGTAATGAATGAATATTTGACTTTTAACTCCGAGTGATTATCAAAAGAATTAAGAAAAATTTTCTATGGCTCTCTATCAGGGATCCTTATCCTGATCCACGAAAACTGGTAATTCCCGACGGTTTTTGGGTCGGGAATCTCATACTCGAACACGAGAATTGATAATTTTCCGGGAATTTCGATCCAAAAATTTTTTATCACTTACGGATCACTTGAGTCCTAAGGTTATGTCACGGATCGTTTGAGCACTAAATTAGGACCCAACTGATATGAGGCATCATGTACAAGTCTTGGGTCAAACGAACCTCGATCCAGTCTGAATAGACCCTATATTTTAAATTGCAGATTTAATCAGATTTATAGGAAAAATTCTTAAATTAATAAAAGGTATTTAAGTAACATTCTCGAAAGAATCAAATTAACGATAAAAATTTTTTCAAAATATTCTAGACGATTTTATTATGTATTAACTTTTAGAATTTAATATAATTTGTAAAAATATATTATTGACTAAATAATTAATTTATTCACAGATTCCATTATTCTTTATTAATTCCAATACTTCTCTTGCACATCCCCAACTCAATAAAAATCCTTTTGCGCCATGTCCATAATTATGAATTACCTTTTTTTAGAAATTAATTTTAAATATTAATTTTTAAAGAAATACATGAATTTGTTTATTTGTTTTGTCATCTTCTAGCAATTTATGTTCCAGTCTAACGCCTCCCTTACGATCTGGACGTAATCCACACCATTCACTTACAACCTCTGAATGTTTAAGTGAAGGCTTTAATTCTGTTACTCTTGTCCAAATATCATTTATATCTTCTCTACTAATTTCTCTATCCCAACGATTATCTTGACGTAAAGTACCCAACAAAACACGGTCATCACCAACACTAAAAAAGGAAGAAAAAGTTAGTTAAATATTCAGTATTTGGCTCTACTGCAGTTTATGAGTTCAATGAAAAGTTTATGAATCCAATCACACTTTATGAGTCCAATGGGTTTACGTTGACCATTTAGAGCCTTTTTATATCGACTAAGAATTATTTCTTTTTATCAACTATTTCATACGAAACATGTATTCTCAGCTTGACTCATTCTGGGTCGTGATAAAAGGCTCAAAATGGTCAGCGTAAACCTACGGTCGTCGGCGAGGCGCAACTTTTTATTGGACTCATAAACTGCAGTAAAGCCCAGTATTTTTACACTGGAATACAAAAAGTATCTGCATCTTCATAGCAAAAATGTGATTGTCCCGGAGCTTTCACAACAATTCCAACTCCACGATTTGGGAAAACATTTTCATCATCCCCAGCTAATTTTCCACCTCCTAAACCAGCACAATTTACAATTAATGAAAAGTCTTGATTTGCAAGCTTTTAAAGGAATAAATTTAAATTTAAAAAAGAAAAACAAACTTCTTTAATCGATTCAATTTTTTGAGTTTTGTATTCCACAGTATTGCCAAGTTGGTTTTTTAAATAGGACACAAAACGTCGGCCTTCAGCAGCATATGCTGTATAATGAATACCAAATCTAAAAAAAAATAAAATTATATTTTTAATTTACAAACAGGGTTGTCCTTTCTAAAACACTAAAATAGGGTGCAACCACTCAAAAATATGGCAAAAATATGGTGAAGTCAAGCAAAGATAGGCAAAAATATGGTGAAGTCAAGCAAAGATAGGCAAAAATATGGTGAAGTCAAGCAAAGATACAAATGACCTATAAATAGGGTAAAAGGACAACCCTATTTACAAATATCCGCTAAATTAACGTTAATACATAATAGAGGACGGTAAAATCTTATTCCCTGGATTCCGTAACGTGATTTTTTCACAAATTTTTGCGGGGCAGGATCCCGCGGGATTAATCTCGTAAAACACTGGATTTCGGAACAGAATCCCGTAAAACCCCGTATGGGATCCTGCCTGTGCCCAGGCCCGTAGCCAGGGGGGGGGGTGAGGGGGGGAATTCCCCCCCCCCCCCCCCGAAATGGGAAAAAGGAAAAAATTTGGGGAAGGGCTGGGGCAAAAAAGTGAATTTTTTTGGCCTACGGCCTCTGAAATTTAAAAAATTTTCGCCTGCGGCGCTAAAAAAGGAAGAAATCTGGCTTTTTAAGGTCCAAAATCCAAAAAATTTTCGCCTGCGGCGCTGAAAATCAAAATTTTGGCGCCTGCGGCGCCGAAAGAGTGAATTTTTTTGGCCTACGACCTTCTAAAATTCAAAAAATTTTCGCCTGCGGCGCTGAAAATAAAAATTTTTGGCGCCTTCGGCGCCAAAAATTTGGCGCAAAAAAATTTCCCCCCCCCCCCCCCCGAAAAAAAATCCTGGCTACGGGCCTGCCTGTGCCCTCTAGTTAATAATATCCAACCTTAAAAAATTTAAAAGATTTACTTTGCCGGTTTTGCACAAATCAAAGAAAGTTCACGTTGAGTTAGCCATCGAAAATTGTAAACAATACTACCAAATGCTTTTTCCTTCAAAATAAAATTACATTTATTTCTTAACAGTTAATTACAAGTTTTTCGAGAGATTCTTTACTTTCCGATTGAATATGTCCACTCACAAGATGAACAAAAAGGGAAAAAATTTTTATTTTAAAAATTTCTTAAAAATATTTACCTCCAGTATTTAATGGCGATTCTTCTCTTTCTAATTTTGCCCAAAAATTAAAAGTTTTTTCTGCCCACGATTTATAACGGTCCTCGTTAAAACGAAAAATTCCAGCAGGTCCAAAGCTTGTTGTGTCTTCAAATGGACGATCAGAAAATATTTTTATCTTTAAATTAATTTTTAATTTTATCTAAAATATTCAGATATTCATACCACAGCTGTAGGCAATGCTTGACGTATAGCCAAAGCTGTGCTTACTCCTATAACTCCCTCTCCAATAATTGCTATTTTTAAAAGTGTTGAAGACATTAATAAAAAAAAGTATCTAAAAATATTTTATTAAAGTTAAAATAATGCATAAAATATTTAAAGATTGTATACTTAAAAAAAAGAATAATTTTTTAAATGTTTCAATTCACTGATTTATGTTTAAAATATTGCTCAAGAACACAAAGTACTAGGTTTCCTCATGTTTTACTTAAAGTTGGGTGAAATAAATTTTTAGTGCTCACGTGACAATACTGTGTAAAATGCGAAATGTTACATATAGACGGAGGTACAGAGAAATACAAAGTATCAAATCAAATTTTATGCGCACGAAAGCGACGATCTTAGTCAATGATATGTGATCAAATAAAGCTAATTTATTCTACGACTCTGAAACGTCTCCTTTTGGCCATCACTGAACCGCGGAGCAGTTCAACTGAGTCCGCACGATTGAGTCCCCACGATTGAGTCCGCACGATTGAGTCCCCACGATTGAGTCCCGGCACAATTGAGTCCCCACGATTGAGTCCGCACGATTGAGTCCCCGTTGTATATACCTCAATTGAGTCCCCGTTAAAAATTCCCGGTAGGGGACACTTGTGTACCGGCCGTTTGTGTACCGCCGGTTGTGTACCAGACCTGGGCGAAACTCAAAATTTTTTTCTGACGAAACGAAACGAAACAAAATTTTTTAAAAATCGTTTCGTTAACGAAACGAAACGAAACAACCAAAATCTTACGAAACGAAACGAAACAAAACGAAACATTTTAATATTCAAAAAATTTTCAAAACTGCATTTATTTCGAAATTATTCGACCTCAAATACGTTATTAGTCGACTATGACTTATAAATGATTTAGTTATTGGTTTATTTACAACAATTGTGTCCCATAAGCCAGGCCCGTAGCAAGGAAAATTTTCGGGGAAGGGGGGGGGGTCAATCATTTTCGAAGCCAAATTTTTGGCGACGCTTTTTTTTAAATAAAATTGAATATTTTTCAAGTAAAATTTTATTTTAAGCGCCGCAGACGAAAAATTTTAAAATTTTGAAAGGCCGTAGGCCAAAAAATTCACCATCTTGCTCCATTGCCTACCCAAATTGTCTCCATATCTCCATTTCGAGAGGAAGGCGATATAAGCTAGTGCTTCGCCGGAAGTTCCGGTTCCAGTATTTCCGCAACTCGCAATCCGCAATTTTTAAATTATGATGCGAGTCCGGTAATAGAATTTGTCGTCGATTAAGTAATATGTATATGTGGATTAGGGAGTGGAGTATAAACGGATTTGTAGTATATAAGTAATTGCTATCTTCCTTTTTCAGCGCCGCAGGCGAAAATTTTGACAATTTGGGAAAGCCAAGAAGCCGAAATTCTTTTTTTTTCAGCGCCGCAGGCGAAAATTTTTTAAATTTTCAATAAAAGATGGTAAATTTTATAGATTTTGGCCTTAGTTTAGGCTTAAAAAATTGTTTCGTTTCGTTGAAAAATCACAGGTGTTTCGTAACGAAACGAAACGAAACAAATTTAAAAGTGTTTCGTAACGAAACGAGACGAAACAGTAAAAATCATACGAAACATACGAAACAACGAAACGAAACGAAACGTTTCGCCCACGTCTGTTGTGTACCCACCCAAAGGGGGACGTTTGTGTACCCGCATTATTTTCCTAGATTTTTTTATTGTTTTTTTTTATTTTTTTGTTTTTCTTTTGGGGTTTGCAACTAATTTTGTTAATTAGTTGACCGAGCATCCACTCAAGTCCATCCGAGCACTGAATTTTCTCAATGAGGACGAGAGGGAGGACGAGAATCTTGTGTAGGTAAAAGTTTAATTTTTATTTTTTAATTTTAGATTTTATATTTCAGGTTGGTCTAACTTTGCTCATCACGTGTCGGACTTCATCCCACGGCTGCAACGATGGGAAATTTGAAAAGGTTTGGAATTTTTATTTTGTTTTTCGTTTTTATTTTTAAAATTTTTTAGTTGATTTTCGTCAGTTTCTGACTGGCGATTTTCAAGTTCACAGTTTCTGAAGGAACGAAGGTGGTGAACTTAGGAGAACAAAAAACGAAAGAAAGGCCCTTCTTTGGCACAATAATTGAAGCTAGACTTTGGTTTTTTTTTAATTTTTTTGATAAAATTTTTAAAAAATATTTTTTTATTTTTTTTTTCACATTTTGATTTTCTCCCGTATCCAGGTAAATTCTGCCGGAGTCCGGAAATTAGGAAGGAGTTTTTACGTTCGTAAATTAGATAGTTTCCCCTACCCTCCATAGCAGCACAAAAAGTTTTTCCAGCGAAGATTCTGTTGGTCAAAATTTGTTCAGAATCATTCAATCAACTTGATTTTGGTCTTATTCAACTCATCTCGTCGATCCCTTTCGAATGAGCTATTTTTTGTTTATTCGAATGTTTCGCAACAAAAATTCCCCATGGAATTCCACCAAAAAATCCACCATTTCGAGCCCCATATCTCGGCGAGAACTTGTTCAACAATGTTGATTTTGGTGTCATTCGACTCACTACTTTCGAATGAGCTGTCATTCAAAAAATCTCTCGATATCCCTCCTAATCCCCAAACCCACAATATCCATCTTAATCTCTCCGAATTTGTTGATATCTGCCTTAATTCAACCGATATCCCCGCTTAAATCTACTTATATCCCTTGATATTCACCAATATCCATCTTGATACCTCGATGTCGCATACAAGTCCCCTGATATTAACATTAATCCCTCCAAATCCCCAAATATCCCTCTTAATCTTTTTTAATATAATTAAATCTAGGGGACTCAATTGAGGTATATACAACGGGGACTCAATCGTGCGGACTCAATCGTGGGGACTCAATTGTGCCGGGACTCAATCGTGGGGACTCAATCGTGCGGACTCAATCGTGGGGACTCAATCGTGCGGACTCAATTGAGGTGTACCGACTGAACCGGCTTCTCTGAATCGCCTACTCTGAAACGGGCTTTACCGAATTTCTTCAGCAGGGACGACTGAGTCCCGCCGACTGAATACCGGAGCCATATTTTGGGCCATAACTTTTTCTATTTTCAACCAATTCGAATAAAACTTACTTCATTCGAAAGCCCTTGATGTGAGGATAATTTTTAATAACTAGATTGATTTGATCAGATCATTCTACAAAAAGTTAATCTAGATAAGTGCACGCAATCGTGATTTTTGATCTTTACTAGGCTTTAACTTTTTGTTGGTTGATCTGATCAGAATTATCCTGCAAAATAAAATAATCCTTAGGTCAAGAGCTTTCATTTATTAATTATTTAAATCGATTAAGAAATGAAAAAGTTATGGACCAAAATATGGCTCCAGGACTCAATCTCGGGACTCAGTTGGGCGTTCCGCTGATTTCTTGGCTTTCTGATTTCATTTTTAAAATTTTAATTCAAAAAATGATAAACTTTTTTGAAAAATCCGGCATTATCGGGTCCGGCATGAGCATGTAATACAAAATCCGGTCTCTAAACCTGGAAAAATGATTTGTCAGACACTTAATCTTTTGTAATTTTTGAGTTTTGACGGAATTTTTAATTTTAACATTTTCTTATTTTTTTATTATTTTTAGAGGTAAATTTGTTTAAATGAATGAAGGAAAATTCAACTTAATTTATAAAAATGAATCAAATCGTTATAGGCTTGGAAAGGAAGATTGCAACAAATTCCATAGTCGACAATTTTTTTACATTTACAGAGCAAGAGTGGAACAATTAAGAGAAAGGATAATTAAAAATGCAAGGAAAATTCTCGGTTAATAAATATTTTAATTTAATTTTAATTTTGTAAATTAAGGAAATGAAAATTTAACTAGCACGACAATTGATTATCAAAAGGAAAATAACGACGTTTTTCTTGTTGGAATTGTTTTTAAGAAAATGAAATTTCGTCAAAGCGTACTTTATGAATTTGCCGATGATTCTAATTTAAAACTTAAATACACAAAAAAAGATGATGATAATTTGGTGGATGAAAGCGATTTACTTGAACTTGAGAATAATCAACAGGTTTGGATTTTTGCTTTTAGATCACGGCTGCACGCGAGGTGCGTAAATTGCGAGGTTTTTTTTGCAGTTGCGGATTGCGAGTTCAGGAATCTTTTTTTCAATTGCGTGCAGCTCTGTTTTAGATGCATATTTTTAAGCTTAACCTTTTAGTTGATAAAACTGATCGGAAATATCAACAAACATTCACTTGTAACAGGCGATGTGATTGGTGTTTATGGCAGTCAAGCTAGGATGGATGATACTTTTAAAGTTGAAATGATGATCCTGCCCGATCTTCCGCCTCAAATACCTTGGCCAATTATTGAGAAGGATTGGTAAAGTAATTTGGAATAGAATATAAATTAGGGGTTTTGATATCCTTTGTATTCTCTGAATGTGATTAATTTATGATTATTTATTTTCCCACATTTTAGTTATATTGCTTTTATTTCTGGCATCTCTTTGGCTGGCGGCTCAGAAAAATCTGCAAAAACAATTCAAGCTCTGAATACATTTCAAAAGTGGGTAAACAATGAATTGACTTTGAAATCTCATGAAAAGGTTTCTTTTTTAATTTGTTACAGAATTTTATTTTTAATTTTAGACTGATGATATCGTTAATAATTTAATACGTTTGGTTATTGCTGGAGATTTTGCTCAATTAAATTTAATTGTTAGTATTTTTTCTTTTATTTTTTATTTTAAAAATTTTAGGAAATACAAAGACAAAAGGTGGCCGCAATTGGTTTAGAATATGAATCAAATCTGGATTGCTTTACAGGATTGGATGCTTTTATTTGTTCTTTATTGGTATGTTTTAAATTATTAGAATAATTATCGAATATAGGTGTTATTGACATTTTAGAGTAGAATATTAATTATTTTGGTCTCACGAAGATTTTTGATTTTCTAACAAAAAGTTTATACCCAATAAATTTACCATATATACTCTAGTCTATTTTTTGAGTAATATATAATTTTCTCATTATCTGTTTAATATTTTACAAGTTAATCTAACAAAAATGACTTTCGAATTTGTAAAAATTAATCTTAAAATTTTCAGGAAAAATTATCTATTGATGTAATGCCTGGTGCAAATGATCCCACTCAATGTTTAATTCCACAACAACCAATTCCCAGATATGTATTTACTGGAGCTGATGAGAAGAAATATTCAAATTTTCAAACAGTTACAAATCCATACCGTTTTTCATTGGGAGGACTACAATTTGTTGGAACTTCAGGTTTTTTGACTGAAAATAATTTAACTTCAAGTAAAAATTTTCAAAAAAATTTCAAATCATAAGACTGACTACTTGTAATTGTTACATATTTGTTTAAAATTACAGGTCAGAATCTTAACGACTTGGCACGGTTAACATCGCCTTCAAGTGAATTGGAAAAAATGGAAAGAACATTAAATATGAGTAATTTATTTCCAACAGTTCCCGATACTCTTTCTGGTTTTCCATTTTCTACTCGAGACCCTCTAATTCTTGAACAATTGCCTCATGTCTATTTTTGTGGAAATCAACAAAAGTTTGGACAAAAATTAATTGAATATGACGATGGGAAAAGGTGAGTTAATTGAATAAAATTTTATTTTTATTTTTAAATACTTTAGATGCCTTATATTTACCATTCCACGATTTTGTGAAACTTTTGAAGTTGCTCTATTGAATCTTAGAACTTTAAAAGTTAAGTCATATTGCTTCAAAACTTGAAGAATTATTTTAAGAAATTTTTAAATAAGATTTCTCTTTCAATTAAAAACCTCTGGAAATCATTTTTATTTTTGACATTAATTTATTTACGGCTGTAATTTAGTATAGGTCCAACGAGATCGAAACTCATATATTTAACTCGATTCCTCTCGCTGAGCTGAGTTCAAATATTTAAGAATTTCTTTCGGGAGACGAGAACTCACAGAGATATAGACCCCTAAAAATTGAAAAACCAAAGTGGTGACCAAACTGTTTTGCCGGGTCAAAAATTCGAATATGTGAATGATAGCTTATTCGAACTCGAATGACACCAAAATAAATGAAATTGCTTTTCTTAGATTAAATGTAAGACAAACGATGGAGGTGTGGTTAATGTTAGTGTGTCTCATATTATCAAAAGGAGTGTTCTATCACGGATGGCGAAGGTAATAGATTTTAGATAATCTTTTGATATTTCCGTCTGACGGCTTTAGATTTTAATTTAATATCTTTCAGTGCTTAAAAGCTGTTATGCGGGTGAGGAGCTTATAGTCGACATCAAAACCAATATTTTCTCGAAAGTTGTTGAATGGATGGGGGAACTTGGTTTATTTGTTCTTAAAATAATTTTTTAAATTATTTTTCTAGATAAGCCTGACTGTCGAATTAAACCTTATGAATCCACTCAAATCGTCTACACTTTTACTGAATTTGAGACGGATTTCTTCAAAGTTTAAATATCAGACTAATTTTCAATTTTTTGTTTTCTTTATTTTTTGATTTTTACGTTATTTTTCGTTTTAGTCAAAAAATTTAAAAAAATAAAGAAAACAAAAAATTGAAAATTAGTCTGATATTTAAACTTTGAAGAAATCCGTCTCAAATTCAGTAAAAGTGTAGACGATTTGAGTGGATTCATAAGGTTTAATTCGACAGTCAGGCTTATCTAGAAAAATAATTTAAAAAATTATTTTAAGAACAAATAAACCAAGTTCCCCCATCCATTCAACAACTTTCGAGAAAATATTGGTTTTGATGTCGACTATAAGCTCCTCACCCGCATAACAGCTTTTAAGCACTGAAAGATATTAAATTAAAATCTAAAGCCGTCAGACGGAAATATCAAAAGATTATCTAAAATCTATTACCTTCGCCATCCGTGATAGAACACTCCTTTTGATAATATGAGACACACTAACATTAACCACACCTCCATCGTTTGTCTTACATTTAATCTAAGAAAAGCAATTTCATTTATTTTGGTGTCATTCGAGTTCGAATAAGCTATCATTCACATATTCGAATTTTTGACCCGGCAAAACAGTTTGGTCACCACTTTGGTTTTTCAATTTTTAGGGGTCTATATCTCTGTGAGTTCTCGTCTCCCGAAAGAAATTCTTAAATATTTGAACTCAGCTCAGCGAGAGGAATCGAGTTAAATATATGAGTTTCGATCTCGTTGGACCTATACTAAAGCTTCCCCTTATTTACTTAGAGATCGTTGATTTTTTTTACCTTTTTTTGCCAAGAAAATTTATTTTATCCATTTATCTGTTATTTAATTTTTTACATACAGACAATTGTTATTAAATCTATTTATGAATACATATATATTTAATTGTTAAATATCAATAATTACTTATATTACAGCATTAAATTTGTCAGATTTATAGGTAATTTTCCGGTAATTCTACAGGTTTAAGCATTTTTTCCAGAACATAGGATTAGTTAATTTTATCAAATTTTGAGAGTGAATAGTCCTAGGCTAACTGTTTCACTTTTCTATTTTTTAATTTTCAAATGCTATGCTGTCCTTGTTTTGAATGCTTTAGCGACCCTATTGATACTAAATCTAATCAATCGAAGGATTTAGAAATGGAATTTGAGCTACATAAACAAACTTCTCGTTATTTTGCTAATCCATTTATTGATGATGTTTTGGCTGGTTCAAAATTGGTAACTAATGAATGGATTATTTCAAGCATAAAATCAGTGGTGAATCAACTTGTGTATGTAAGGATTGCAGAAGATGAATATCGAGACGGTTTTGATTTTAAAATTTTTTAAACTCAAAAATGTTTAAATTTCAAGATGGCCCTTATGTTGGACCTAGCGGGATAGCTTATGCTTTGTTGCAGGCCTCGAAAACTAATGTTGGCATTAAGCTTGAAAAGGAGGCACTTGTAATCTTGAGCAAACAACAGAAGCTTTTGCATGTATTTTTAATTAATCCTAATTTTCTAATAAAGTTATTAGAATATGTCCGCGGCCCATGAATGCCGTTACCTCACTGGAACCCTTGGTTTTTACACAATCCAATTACTAGCAGGACAGATTGATTCAGAATTGTTTTCAGCTAAGGTTAGAAGAATGCTTGAACTTGTTTTACAAAATGGATATCAAAAAATTGGTGACGATGAGATTTTGAATGGAAGAGCTGGATTTTTGGCTTCAATTTTAATTATAAAGTTGAATTTTAGAAAAAGTAAACATGGAAATAAGGATATTTTTAAGAAAAGAAAAAGGGTTTGATGTTCTATCTGACGATGAAATACGCTCTGTTTTAAATTCCATAATTCAATCTGGGCTTGCTTATTCTAAAAAACACCACTCCCCTTCACCATTAATGTACCAATGGCACGGAGATGAATATTTGGGTGCCGCACATGGAGTTTCTGGCATTCTTCAAATACTTTTAAGGTTTTTTTAAATTATTTAAAAACATTTTCTAAATCTTAAGTTATTGGGATTTTCTTGACGATTCAGCTAAAACAGCGGTCAAACAATCTGTGGATTGGTATTTAAGTATTCAATTAAATGATGGAAATTTTCCTTCTGGAACGGACAGAATTGGTTAATTATTTCCCATTTTCATTCTCAATTCCTTCATTTTTAGGTAGAACAGAAGAACTCATTCATTGGTGTCATGGAGCAACGGGAGCTCTTCATATGCTTTTAGCTGCTCATTTAGTCTTTGACAGTGCCAAATACTTACAGGTAATATGTACATACTTTTTAGAAAATTTTTCGTTGTTTGCTTTTATCCAATATTAAGAATCAAAATAATTTTAAAAGTTTTTCTTTAAAAGGCCGCCATTCGATGTGCGCAACTAATTTGGGAAAGAGGTATTCTTGGAAAAGGCCCAGGAATTTGTCATGGAGTTGCAGGCAGTGGATATGCATTTCTATTACTCTACAGGCAGACCCTCGAAAATGGATGGCTTGAGAAGGCAAAAGTTTTTGCTTTAATCATGATGAGTGAAAATTTTAGGGTTTGTTTTTTATTTTTATACAAAAATTAAACCAAAAATTTTTAAGAATGCTGCTCGGACACCTGATTGTCCTTGGAGTTTGTTTGAGGGTTGGGCGGGATCGCTTTGTTTTTTAATTGATTTGCTTACACCGACAAAATCCCAATTTCCTTTGCTCCCATTGAATTTCAAAAATTAGTTGTTTCAATGAAAGAAGGATTCTCTCGATAAATAATATTATTTGATTCAAAAATACAATTATTTATTTATTTAAATTAATACAATGGAATTTCTAGTGTCTAAAACACTGATAATCTAACAAGGAAACACCCCAAATTGTATGTGAAAATTTTTGTATTTCTTGCACCATCATGTAGAGCAAGGTCGAAAACCTATTATAGTTTTCGGCTTTTTCCCCTGATCCCATTTCGAAAAGTTATAGGGATTCAAAGTTGGACCGCTTGAGTTTTAAGAAATTTATTGTATTAATTTTTCGGAATTATTTTAAAATTAATTTTTTTTTCATTTATGTTCTTATTTTTAAGAACTCATTTTAAATTATTACCTCCAAATATATTAAATAAATTAATTTTTTAAAGAATTTTAATAGTATTTGTCTGAATCAAAAAATATTATTTTTAAGTTATTTCAAAATGTTTTCCTGCTAGACAACATTTAATTGTTTCTGGGGTGACATTAAAAAGAAAAAAAGGTTTGGGACAATAAAGCAATAGACATTTCCCTCCTTTCTTTATTTTGATTGTTTTCTTATCTAAATGTATTACAAATTAAGAGGTTTTTAAGATTATTCATCTTTCTCTCTCTAAAAAACACGAATATATTTTTTTAAATAATTTATTCTTAACCGGCTTTTAAAAATTAATATTTTTCTTTTAGATTTATTTTATCAAATTTTATGGCCCAGACTCGAAGTGGAGCGAAAGCAGCCGCAAACAAACACGACCGTAGGTATCGCTCGTCATTGCCTGATTCATTTATGCAGCGCGCCCAGCGTAATCAACGTTCTACAACTCCGAGAGAAATGAAAGGGAAAAGTTCGGGGAATTTTATTCAGGTTTCTCTTTCATTTCCTTAAGTTAAAAAATAATTTAAAAAATTTTAGAGATTTTTTGGTTTCTTCATTTCTCTTTGTGTAAATTATATTGAATATGATTGTCAATTAAAACATTCTCAACTTGCAAGGATGGGGGATCACGGTTTAAATTTTTTTAATTAAATTTCTTTTTTTATTTTTTAACTTTTAGTTTATTCTGCCATAGATGCTTCTTGGTTAGATCAACTTTGCATGAGCAAGTCTCAATTTCTATAAATTTTTGAAATTTTTTGTCAATTATTTTCAGGTTTTGGAATTACATTGTTCAATGGTACCCACTTTGGTTGGCACCTAATTTAATAACGCTGATTGGTTTGGTACTTAAATTTTATTTTATTAAATTAATAAACTTGAATTTTATTTATAATTAAGACTACTAAAATTTAGTCATTCCTTTATTTTTATTTTTGAAATTTAAAAAATTTTTTACTTTATGAGGATGTATTATTTAAAAATTTAAAAAATTTTTTTAAATTTTATTTTCTATTATTCTCATTCTTCTTTTCTTTTCAGTTGATCAACCTCGTCACTGTACTTATCCTTTCTCATTTTTGTTATTCTGCGACAGAACAAGTTTTATTAAAAATTTAATTTTAAATTTAAACAATTTTAGGCCCCATCTTGGGCATATTTCCAAGCTGCAATTGGCCTTTTTCTTTACCAGACATTGGATGCTACAGATGGAAAACAGGCGAGGAGAACTCAATCTTCTTCCCCTTTGGGGGAACTTTTTGATCACGGCTGTGACTCTTTAACTCAAGGTTTTTAAAATTTATTTCAAAATTTTCAAGTTAATTTTTAAAATTTTAGTTTTTGTAACTTTAAATGTTTGTTATGCAATGCAGTTAGGTTTGTTTATTTTTTTTTCCTTTTTTTCAAATTAGCATAAGTGATTGTATCCTCTAATCCGCCTTCAAAGCATTTTTCGAATTTTTTTTTGAAAATTTTTTCAAAAAAACTTTTTTCATCAATATTTCTATTTAATACTTTTTTAAATCTCATCTTCAATGAATATTTACCTAATTAACTTTTCAATTAATTCTGTTCCATCATTTTTTATTTTTTTGTTAACTTTAAGTCTAAAATTTAATTTCTTTTCTAAATTCTTTAGTTTATTTAAATATTTTTATTTAATTTTAAGTAAAATTTTATTTAAGGAACTGAACGTCACATGGTTTTGACTGTTATGATTTTTTCAATTTCTTTGTTTTACACTGCACATTGGTCAACTTATTGTACTGGACAGCTTAGATTTTCAAAGTTTTTTTTTAATTTTTTGATTAAATTGAAATTATTCTTTTTCAAGATTTGATGTTACCGAAGCCCAAATGACTGTTATTGGAATTCTTTTATTTACTTCTGTTGTTGGTTCTGATATTTGGAATATTAGAGTTTGTTTTTTAATATGATTTTTAATTTTTTTAAAAAGATTTTTGGTTGGCAACTAAAAACTATTTGTATGCTTGTTTGTCTTGTTGGAGCAATATGGCAATTTTTTGGTTATATGAATGTTATTTTTAATGAAGGAGTAGGGAAAAATGGATCTACTGTTGCGGTGAATTTATTTTGTTTTTATTTAGATTTTTAAAATACAAGGGAGAGAGTTTAAGATTGGGATTCCGCAAAAATTGTAAAATTCACTTCATTTTTTAGCTAAATAAAATATTTTGTAATTAGGAGAGAGAGAAAGAGGAGGGAGGTTGAAATCAAAATTTTTTTTAAAAACTATCGATTTTAAGATAGTTTTAACATTACGAGATTTTTGAATTTTTTAAAATTTTTAAGGACACTTCAGTAATTTGTCCATTATCTCCATTATTGGCTGTGTGTATTCCCTTTTTAATGCTTTATTGTAAATCAACGTCCAGAGTTTATGATCAAAATATTACTTTACTTTGTCTTTGTTTTGGTGCAATTGGAGCTAAAGCTACTAATCGTTTAGTAAGTTTCAAAAAAAAAATTTATTTAACAAACTAGAAATATGGAAGAAATTTTCTCTCTGTAATTAAATTTTAATTAAAAGATTTTTTTCAGGAATTCTTGTTTTTTTTAATTATTTTTACATTCTTTTTTTGTTTATTTATTTTTAAATTTTAAGATAATTGCTCATATGAGCCGTTCTGAATTGGAAGTTTGGGATTGGATTTATTTAAGTCCCTTCATTATGATATTGAATCAGGTAGAAATTAGAATGATTAGTTTATTTAATTATTTTTAATTTTAGTATTATGATTATATTGTAGATGAATATTTGTTGCTTTTGGTTGCTACGGTAAATAATTTTATCTTTTCACCTTTTTAAAAAATAAAAATTTTTTCGTCAGATCTATGCTCATATAAGTCTCATAATTTTTTGTATTCTTATCTGTCGACAATTCTGTGAATATTTACAAATTAGTTGTTTTCAAATTGGACATTTTAAAAGGCAGAAATCGAATGATGTTGGTACATCAAATAACGATGGACGTAAGGACCAGAATCTTCATGTTGAATGACAAGAAATTTAAGAATATATTTTTTAGTATCTCAATTTTATCATTTTAAAGAATATTACTAGCCTTTATTTTTTGTAAATTCTTTGCCTTTCCTTGACACTTCTTTGCTCATTCTATACATATTAAATATAATTTAGTTTACATTTTTATTGTTTTTTGATTAGAATTAAATGATAGACTTAAGATGATCTAAAAAATAAGTCAGAGATCAAAGAATATAAATACTATTGAGATTGAATTCTAAAAAAATTCTTCAGACTTCCATTTTTTTCTGTAAAAATATATTTTTATATGTAGTTATGATTAGAGCCCGGAATCTTGTATGGGTCTGTATTCCGTACCGTACTACCGCACGGAAACCGATAAATACCGAAAAATACGGCCGTAGTACGGTCCGGTCTGGGCTCTAGTTTAATATCTGATTGTTATATTTAATTAAAAAGTGTATAAAAATAGGAATATTTGAAATGAAAATATTTTTTAAAAAGTTTATAAAAATGATAATTCTCAAAGTTGTTCTAGTTCGGGTAATTTAACATTTCCTCGCAGGCAGAGATCGGCAAGTGCTTTTGGCATTACATTATGAAATTGACCACGATCATGAACAAAAGCGATGTAATTGAGTAGAAGACTATGATATTTTGCGTGATTAAAGCAAAATTCAATTAATTGGAGTAATTCTGTGTATCTTCTGGCACCTGGTATTGGTCCGTAATTGTTCTAAAAATGTTGTAGTTTTCTGACAGATATTTTAATAATCAGAATCGGAAAAAATTTTTGAGTAATCAAGTGTTTATCTCAGAAAATTTGTAAAAGGTTCCTTCCAAAGGGCTGTTTTTCAACCTTCAGTAATTATAGTAGAAGTACGGTAGCACCCCGAGCCTTCGGGGGCGGGATCGTCGGGGATCGGAGTTTGCCGGGGTAGTCTTTGGGGCTTCGGGGGACGGGGTGCTACCCTAATTAGAAGTATTTTCCACCTGTTTTATATTACCCATACATTAACATGACCGTTGTACTATATTATATACATATTTATTTTTTACCTGTAAAACCTTCAATAAAATTCCAGAATATTTTTCTGCCTCAGCTAACAATATTTTTTGTCCATTTTGACTTAATCCGTTAGTAACCATATGTGAATAAATAATAGCCTTAAGTAAAACATATTCTTCCTCTTCAAGCCTAACTCGATTGAAGGGTTCCATACTTTTTTTAAATACAATTTTGATTAGTTTATTTATTCTAAAAAAATTTTTAAAAAATTTTATTCGATCAAAATTAACGTTAAATCTCCTCCATAATATTCTCCCCTTAAAGAGAATATTGCAGAAATACCACATGGAAAAATAATAGTTTCTGATCTTTTTGTATAAGAATAATAACCCATAACCAAAACTAATAAAGGTAAAGCAATTGTTGATAATAAATAAATCTTTAATTTTTTTTTGATTTTTAATAGAAATTTTTTGGGTACACCTCGTTTCAGTATGGCGCCCTATAACTTTTGAAGGGGATGATAATTTTTAATGTTCTTGGTACCATTTGATAGAGCATTAAATAAGCTACAATATATCAGAAAATTTTAATTTTTTTAAAATATTGTAGAGCTTTCGATTCTCTATCCAATAATACCAAGAACATGAAAAAGTGACGATTTCTTTATTAATTATAAGCTCCAGACGAACTGATCCAGATTGAACTGAGGTGCTCCGAAATATTCTTTTAAATTTACATTATCATTTAAATCCAATTTTGGAAAGAAAGGAAGACTTTTTGCAATTTCAACAATTAAAAGCAAATCTTCTGTAAGAGTAGGAGGGCGCATATGAAAATGCCCATATTTATGTAAAAAGTCAATTAAAGATTGTTCTGCCTTTTGTTCTTTTTCCTTAAATTTTTTTTTATTTTTTATAGTCTAAGATATTTTATATATAATTTTGAAAAATTATTTTTGGTTTTATTATTTTTATATTTGCAAAGTGATCGTATCTTTAAAATGAATCACTAATTTAATATTGGAAAAAAAAGCACTGCAATTTTATGATTTTCAAAGTAAATGTAGGAATTGTTTAAGTCCATCTATCTAGTTTAATTAATTTTAATGAGTTCCTTAATTTCTCAATATTTATTTAAAAAATTGACTTCATATTAAACTGTTTATTTGTTTTAAACAATTACGGTAATCTTCTAGTTTACTGGTCCCGAGAAAAAAATTAGGAAGCAGTGCTGTTTCAATATTTTTGAGAGTTACCAGTAGGTAATCGACCATGCTGAATCCGAATCTGAGCCTAGAATTTGCTTATTTCGAACCCCGGACCCGGATTCGACCAAGTCGAATTAGGGGTAAAAATTCGAAATTACGATATTATGGTTGTTCTGACTCGTCTCTTTATTCTGAGTCGAATGGTATCAAAATTATTAAGTTTCGATCATTTTAAACGAAGTTATGATCAATTAAATACCCGTTATTATAGACTTCTGTGTAGAAAACCGGCATCATAACTTAATCCAAAATTGTCGAAGCATCATAATTTTGATACCATTCTACTCTACTCGAATAGTCTTGTTAGAATAGCCCTAAATTTTTAATTTCGAATTTTTACCCCTAATTCGACTCGGTCGAATCCGGGTCTGGGGTTCGAAATAAACAAATTCTAGGCTCAGATTCGGATTCAGCATGGTCGATTACCTACTGGCAACTCTCAAAAATATCGAAACAGCACTGCTTCCTAATTTTTTCTCGGGACCAGTAAACTAGAAGATTACCACAATTACCAAATATTCTACACTTTGAGTAAGTATATTTTCCTTTCGAGCAAGCAATGTTTCTAAAGATTTACAAGAACATAAAAAATTCCATTCAGGAACATTTGTTGGGGAATTTCTAATTCGACTAGCATTTTTCTCAATAATTAAGAGGTATTCAATAATTTGATGATAATCATTAACTGCGTTTAACTGTTCTTTCTTAATTTTTTTGTGATAAAAATATTACTAAATTAATTAGAAACTAAAAATAAAAGTAAATATTTAATTTCGATAGCCTATAAATAGAGCTACAAAATTATATAAAATTAACGATTCCAAATTAATGTTTAAAAAAATAATTTTCAGAAATATTACTAATAAAATTTTTTCTTAACTAAATTTCCGCCATTGTATAAAATTTTTATGTTTTATTTTTTAGTGAATTTTTCAAAAAAACCATCAATTTTTCGAAATTATTGCTAAAATTTTTATTTAGGTTAATTAATATAACGTAAATATCCATGATATATTTTACTTTTGAGTATCTCATTAAGCGGGAAACTTCTCAATTTTCGTCTGAGCTTTTATTAAGGCATTATTTACATTATTTAAATAAATATTCATATTTATTACCAAATCAACAAAACTTTCATCATTTTCTCCCATTTTTCTCAAAATATATTTTCCATTATTTGCAAGTTCTCTAATTCTCTGTTCAATTTTTGCTTTTATTTCCCATAAAGAGTTTGATCGGTCTCCTCTCATTGTTTGTATATTCATTCCCATTAATAAACATTTATCAAAACGGCAACTTTTGCATTTATTTGGAACTTTTTAAACAAATAATTAAATTAAATTTAATTAACCCCTTCCCCCTCCTACCATTTTCAATTTCACAATTTCCATCATTTTTGCATTTAAACAATTTATTTTCTATTAAAGTTATACATCGACGAAAAAAGTGCTTACAACCTAAATATTTAATAAATAAATAAATAAAAGTACCGTATAACCTGTATTAATTGCCCTCCATCAAATAATTACTCCATTAATTACCCTATCCAGCGATGGATTGAAACAATAATTACTCCCCAACAAATGCCCTAAATCACGTTAAAATTTCAAACCTTGTATAATTACCCTCCCCCGATTAATTACTCCTTCCAGCGGAAGGTCGAAAAATAATTACCCAAGGTAGGTATTAAAGGATATACGGTATATAATCAGAAAAAAGACAAAATAATTTTTTAAAAAGTTTCTTTATTGTTTATGAGAACTTTTAAGTTATAAAATAAATTAAACAAGAAAAACAAACCATCACAACAAACAACATTATAATAAGAATAACCACTAGCTAAATACCCACAAACACAGCATTTTGTGGGGGTTATTAATTGTTTATTTTTTTGTTTATTTAAAGAATTTTGAATATCCATTTAAGAATTTATTTTTTAAAAAAAGATTTGTCAATTCTTTTTTATTTTAAAAGAAATAATAAAATAAAAAAATTTTCTTTACATTAAAAAGCTTGACAATTAATAAGTAAATAAAATTTTGTAGTTAGGTAAACTTTTTGTTATGGAAACGAGTTTTCTCTCTTTCTTTGGTAAATTTGATAAAAATTAAAAGAAATACCTAGGTAATATTTTTTTAAATTAAATATATGCACACATCTTTTTAGTCAATAGTTGGTAGAAAACAGGAAAAAATAAATAAAGTAACTAAAAATAAATAAAAAATCAGCATAAGAAGTTTTGTAAAGAAATAATTAATTAAATTATAAAAAAGGGTTAAAGAGGAAATTCATAAAGATATCAGAGGAAATTTTTATGAGTGGATTTCTATACATCAAAGGGAAAACCAGAAAAATACTTTGCTATTTTATTAAATTTTTTTAGAAAATTTATATAGAATATATTAATAATTTTTAAATATTCAAATATGTATAGAATTTGTCTTTATCAAATATTCTTCCCATATTTCATTAAATTGTAAAGTCATTTGTAATGTTTATATTAAAATTAGAGAACCTTTTGATCCGATCCTTATCGAGACCAGAAATGGATTTTCTCCCTTTGGCCTATTCCAATTATTCCGCAGGTTCTGTTTCTCTGCATAGAATGCAGAATCTGCGGACAATTGAAATAAGCCCCTGGTTTTTGCCTTCCATGTGCTGCTTTTCAGGAATCAAAATTATTCATCCATGATTGAGACCGTAGCTCTATTATTAATCAGATACCCCTTCCAACAACAATTTCCTCCTACATTTTTTTAATAAATTATTTAATTTTTTTATAAAAAATGTAGATAATATTTTTTATGTAAAAAAAGTTTTTTATTTTCTTTTTTTATTATTTTTTACATCTTCAACACTTCCTTATTTTAACCTCAAATTTCATAAAACAACACGCGCATTTTTTGCCCTTTGGCATTTAACTATTTTCTTTCTTATTTTTTTATTCTCCCGTCTCATTTCTCATTTTTTTTGTTTTCACCTCCTCATTTTCAAGTATTCTTTCAGGAAATTAACTCAACGAGAGGATATGTAGAAGGGGGAGGGGGAGGGGAGGATTGTTGAAAAATTGAGATGAAGGCGTTGTCATTAGAATATAAATATATTTTTGCGTTTTCATCAAAAAAATTTTTGCGGATAAAATTTAAAGTTAAATTATATTTTAAATATTATTTAAAAAGAAATATTAATTATTATTTTTTGGCAGTCTGGTAAAAAGTTTGAAGTTTGCGTGCATATTTTAAATTATTAAAGTCCAATAACAATGAAAAATTTTATCAAAAATTCTTATAAAATTTTTATTTAGATTTATTTCTGAATTTATTGCTGAAGGAAAAAGAATTTTTTTTACAATAATTAACCTAAATTAAGAAGATTTTCATTGATAATTATATAATTTTTGAAGATTTTAATTAGGGTTGCCAAAATGGACCGACTTGGGCCGAAAGATCGAGTCGGGCCTAAGATATTTGACCCAAAACTGATTCGTACCAACCCGACTCGATAAAAACAAGCCCGAAAAAATGTCTCGACCGTCGGCCAGACCCGAAAACGGCAACCCTAATTCTAATCGGTCAGTTAAACCTCCTATATCTACTTTAGTGTTGTAAAATTAGTTTACACACAATAAGCCTCACAAAATTTATTTTTCAGTTTAAAACTCCTTCAAATTTATAAAAAATTATTTTGCGGATTATCCGCAAAAAAGTTGACTCTTTTAAGTTTTTGTGTTGAGGGGGCTAACTAACCAATACATACTTGAAGAAAAATGAGAAGATTCATCTATGTAATATAATAAATAAATAAATTCTTTCCCCCTTTTTATTGTCTTTAAATTTCTTTAAAGCTAATTTGCGTAAAAACTTTCTCTTTTTTTGAGAAAAATAAAACAATAAAAATATTTTTAAATAAATAAAAATGATGGAAATATGTAAAATTATGATGGAATCGAGTGAATTGGTTATTAAACAAAATATTTTACAAAATAATTCGAAGGTAGTTTTTTAAATTAAAATAATTATTCTGAAATAAGTATAAATAGTATAGCAACTAATCGGAGTTTTTAAGGAATTTTTAATAGAGTCGTACACGAATACCGATGCCGATAAATATTTAAAGACATCGTCGGTAGTGAGATATGTTCCTTTAATAATGAGTAATGGGAATATAAACAAAATTCCAACAAAATAAATGTTTGCATGAAATTAATTTTTGAAAAAATTAATGATTTCAATAATGTTGACTGATTATTTAAAAGTTTTAAGTTTTGTTCAAAGATTCTTTAGGTATATTTAAGTTAACTCCTCCATTCCTTCCCTTATAAAAATTGCATACTAAAATAAATATTAACATTTTAACTTTACTATAATTTCTTTTAAAAAATATCTAGATACACGAAGCTGACCACGTACATGTCTCAAAATTAAATTTTATAACTTATATGATTATTGCCCCAATAATTATTGGTATTTTAATATATCTAAATATTTTTTTAGTTAAAAAATATTTTTTCAGCAATTTCAATTATTGGTGATTTACTAACAATAATTACTTTAAATCATCCTACAATGAAAAGAAAAAAAGATATTTATATTTTCTTGTCTTTTTTGGCACTTACCGATTTGGTCACTTTTTCACTTTTGTCCTTTATACAAAAAATCCCCCTTTTAATTTTTTTCAGTTTGCCCAATTATCTGTTATTCCCCCAATTCTTTGGATTCTCGATTTTCGACATTGTTCACAATTAGCAGCTTTTTATTATGCACATATAGCTTTTCCTCTCTCAAATGCTTTAATGGGTGCAAGTGTTTGGGTGGTTATATTAATGACTTTATATCAATTTAAAGCTGTTTGTTATCCTTTACATTCACAATCGGTTAATGTTTTTTTGAGTTAAAAACATAATGAAAAATTTATAATAAAAAATACTTGATCTAAATATTCCAAGAATTAATTAACTTCGGAATTACTAACATAAGTTCTTAGATTATTCCTTCAATAATTACCCTGGGTAATTATATCAGAGACACTAATTATGTATTTATTACATAGTAATATCAGTTCCCCTCTATTAACTCCATTTTTTTAAATTCAAAATTAATTTTTCACTTTTTTAGCGAAGTATCCAAACACAACGAAAATTTATTTATTTACTGTTCCTAGCCATTTATTTCTGTAATTTTTGTATTTATGCCCCCTGGTCTCAAAAGAAAATTGTATACGAGGCAAGTTTCTTTTGAAGAAAATTTTTTAGAGACTTTCTCAATTTTTAAAGCTCCCAAAAGGTGTTTTACGTTGTCCTTTTCTTGTTTGTGATCGTTCAATAGATACTCCTTTATATGGAATGTATGAATGGTTCAGAGAATTTTTAACGAGATTTTTCCCGTTCTTTCTTCTTGCTTATTTTAATATTAATATTTTGGTTACTTACAGGTAAATAATTAATTAAAATAAATAGAATAAATTTAATTTAGAAACACTAAAAGAAATAGAATGAGTCTTTCAAGTCCTTCAATTCAAAAGAAGGCGTTGGTAGAGAAAGGCGAAAAGGTAATTAATTATTAAAGATATTTCAAGTACTGAGTCAGTCTTCCTCGAGTTAGGAAGCTAAAATTTCATCAGCGGCCCAAAATCTCGATTATTAAGACAAAAACAAATATTAAATATTTACCTAATACTAATTGTTAGACTTTTTAAAAACTTAAATCGACGATAATTCTCAAGGAAACTGCATAGTGATGGACTGGTAAGATAAATAGGTCAAAAATCTCGGTTATCGAGAGGACCAAATATACCTACTTATTTTTGGATAACTAACCAAAACTTTTTTTTAATTTAGGAAGAAAGAAGACTATTTACATTACTTTTTCTAATAACTATTGTTTTTTTCGTTTGCACAATTCCAGCTGTTTGTTTAAAATTTTAAAAATAAATTACTCTTTTTTCCATATTTAGGCTCCTTTAACAATTTTAATTTCCGATAAACAAGATCGTTCTTTGCCTTTTCAGGTTGCTGAATTAATTTAAAATGAATTTAATGTTAATTTTGTTTCTAGATTTATCGTTCATTGGCTAATTTACTCGAAATTACAAAATTTGCTTTGAATTTTTATTTTTATTGCCTTATCAATCCTGGTATAAAATTAATTTTATTAGGTTTAATTTTTAAGAAAACAGCCTTAATTTAATAGAGAATCCAAAAATGTCTAAATTATAAAGAGGATTAATTACGGGCCGTTTATCTTCGTTAAACTTTGGGATAATACTTCTTTTATGTAGGGTTATTGGTTTCTGGAAATTCTTTGGATATCCGAAACTGAACAGAAGAACCGAATCGAAAAATCCTTGGTTTTTCGGTTCCCTCCAGAACCGACAACCCTACTTTCACGTTACAAAGCTAATAAATTAGGAATGTATGTAAGAGGTTGTGAATGTTTATTCCTGGGGAGAAACTAGATCAAAACAATATTTCAGTTTCGAGACTGAGAATTTCGAGATTATCTAACAATCAATTATTTACTCCTATTTAAATATAAAACATAGTCTATGCCAATTTGAGGAAAAATTTTTTTACTTAAAAATTTCTTATTTTAAAGATATTTGCCATGTTTGTATCCAAATTCTAAAATGTCGGGCTGCTTATAAAAAAATTAACAGAGCATTATCACTCCGTTCATTACCTAATAGCAGGTAAAATAAATAAAAATAAAAAAATTAATTAAAAATCTAAAAAGATCTGGAAGTAACAAAACTTTATTGACTGCAAGGGATTCTGAAAGAAGTTCTAAAGGAAGTAGAAAAAATAGTTTATTATTATCTCCTTTTGCAGAAACAACACTTTCTAGAACAAATTCATCTACTTCCTCCAATAACTATAAAAGTATTTGTGATAAAAAATGTATTAAATTACATAGAGAATTTTAAATTAATTTTGTTTTTTTTGTAAAAAGGTTAATAAAAAATATTTTTTAAGTCAAAATTGATTATATCTACATTTTATTTATGTAAAAATTCATCTAATAAATTTTTTGAGAAAAAAAATTTATTGAGAAAAAGATGTTAAAATCTTGGAAGAATTATTTAATCCAAACTGTATTGATACAAAACATATTTTTATTTATTCATTTTAGGGTAGCTGGGGTAGAGCTTTCGGGGTTCCGGTCGGGGGCTTTTGCCTAAAAATTAGTCGGATGACGGGGTGCTTCACTAATTTATTTTATTGAGTTAATTTAAAAGCCACGTTCTTTAATGAAAAGAAAATTTTAATTAAAATAATTTTAAAAAATTAATTTTAAAAATCGTTGAATAAATACATAGAAGCTATTCTAAAAAAAGAAAAAAAGTTTTATTTATTTTAAATTGATTTTCCTTTTCTCTTTTCTTCCAACTTGAAAGTAAATTAATTTACTAATTTTAGTTATGTATATAAATTAATATTTAATAAAATAATTTTTATAAAAATTTTTTCTCTTTTTTCTTAATTTATTTTTTTGAAATATTATTGCCATTTAAATATGTATATTATTATTTTTATTTATATATATATATATATATATGTATCTCCCAACATTTTTAATTTCTATAGGGAGATAATCTGGCCTTCTTTTAATCCAATTTTTCCATCAATACATAAAATCGTTGTTTTGAGAGGAAAAAAATCTAAAAATAGAAAATATGTTCACCCAAAATAACCAAAAAATTGTTACTTTATTGCTCTTACAAAGTAATAAATAACAATTTATTTTTAGTTACATATTTTTGGTTAGATATACTTTGGATGAGTCATTGTGAGTTAAAGAGGGCATTGTTATTAAGTGGATATTAGAAATAATTTCAATTGTTCTCATATGACTTTTAAGAAACTTGGCCTTTAGTCTTAAAATCTTTTTTTTTTGTTCAACTTTTAATTTATTCATTATCTTTGTGTTTACTCTCAAATGCTGGGAGAAAATACACTAACAAATGATTCGTAATAAAAATAAAAAATATTTTTAAAAAATTAGTTTTAAAAATCCAAATTAAAAAACGGCCACTAATTATGACTCCACCTAATATATATTTTTTATTTCAGAATCTTTTTTTTAAATTTTAGTTTAATTAAGTACAATTAAAAAAATATCTTTATTTTCTATCAAAAAATCAAAACAAGTTTTACCCATCCCCAACTCATCTTCTATTTTCTGTCTAGACACATTTATTTAATTATATTCATAAAATCCAGACGTTTTTTAAAATCCAGAAAAATTTTTTTTTAATTTATTCCTTAGCGTCCAAATATACCAAATTATTTTTATTTTTCAATAAAAAAATATTTTTTATATATTCTTTGTACACATTTTTGTTGAAAACAGGAAATGTCATTTTATATTCAAGTATTTTTATATTTAACAGGTGGAACTGACTAAACGATTAGTTTAGGTATTTATAAAATAAAAATTTTATTTTCTTTAAAATTTTATTTATTGAATTTTGCTCTTTTTCTCTTTAATTTTTAAGTAAATTATTTTACTTTGATTTTAGTTTTTAAATTTAACAAATTCACTTTCCGTACCAAATTCACTTTCCTTCCTTAAATACTCCGTATTTCCTGTAATATTATTCACCCTTGACTCCCACTTTAATAATACTCCTATTTGGAAAAGTGTTGAAAAATAGTACTGAATTTTTTTGTTATTTTGATTTTACTTTTATTTTTTTCATGTTTTTTGCACCACTTTAATGTATTTTAAAATACCTGTGTTTGCTGATAAATAAATAAATATTTGTTTTTGCTAAGTTATTAGGGTTATTCAAAATCTGATACTTTTTTGGCACGTCAGAGGAATTTTAGGTCAGTCCACCAAGAAATCCAACACGGCATCCGCGCTGTACTCCAAAGCAAAATTAAATTTCTCCTTTTACTAAATATTTTCTGTTAACTTAATTAACCCAAGTAAACTGACAATTACACTAATCTAGTATTTTGAGCATTTTATCAAAATATTTTTATTACTTTAATTTCCATCTGTCCAATACCAACCACAACAAAATAATTTAAAAAATATTTTTTTCACCACTTTTTTCTCCGTTAAATAAACAAAAAAATATTAAATAATTTTAGATTGTTTATTTAAAAAGCACTGCTAGCATTTATTACTCATTTCCAAAGTATTTAATATTTTACTTTTTGAAGGAAAATTATTGATATGCTTCATTATTATTTACAATTACTGTCCATTTTACTCTTTATTTGCTCTCGTGACTTTTTTATTTTTAATATTTTATTTATTTAATTATTTATTTTACTAGCAATGACTAAAGGAGATAGTTCTGGGGGTGATGGAGGCAATGTTGGAATGCCCGGTGGAAGAGTGCCACAAGACGTTAACAAGGAGGATATTAAGGTGTTTAAATATTTTAATTCAGATAGGAGAAATGTTAAGTTAACAAAAAGTTTTAGTCCAAGTGCAATCGGTCTCTCGCTTATTTTATCGGTTTTGGACAAAATTTTTTTGATATAACCCCCTCCCCTCATCCTTCATGGTTTTAGCCGTTTCTTGCTTGTGGGACATTTTTATATTTTAGGAGAATTTATTGGCCAGAATAATTTGTGTGGGTAGTTTTTACCCCAGTCCTCTTGTCCTTAAAAATTTTCAACATAAATATAACTACCGTATTTACTCGATTAATTCCCCCGGGGAATTATTTTTTCAACCTATCCGTAGCATGGGGAATTAATAGAGGATGGGGAATTATTTGAGGTTGGGGAATTAATCGAGTAAATACGGTATGTATTAAATTCCAATTTAATTTATAGCAATTGGCTACCAAAGGCTTAACAAAAATAAATCAACAATCCAATTCTGCCCATCATTTTGGATTGGCAGAAATTATTAAAGCAGAAAGTCAAGTAGTTTCTGGTGTTTTATATATTCTTACTTTACGTGTTGGAAAAACTGATTGTCTTAAAACTGTAAAAATTTAAAAATTAATTTTTTTCTAAAAATAATTTTAAATTTTAAGCAAGTAAATTCTGATAATTTGTCTGAATGCAATAAATATACTGGAGATTTGGATAAAACACAGGCAGGAAAATAAATATTTAAAATACACATTATTCTTTAAAAAAATTTTATTTGGGTATTAGGCTATCCTATCAATAATATCCGGTCCTTAATATTGTAATACATGTCGAGAAAATTAAGATGAAAAAAGGGCAATTTTCTGGTTTTTATTGTGCCAGCGTTTGAAGATTGAAAGTAGCCGATCACCGAGCTTGGATCGGTTATAGTCTATATTATCTACTTTCCTTAACAATTTTATTTCACTTCCTCAATCCAATAAAATTTTTACATTTCATTAACTTAATTTCCGTTTTACTTCGTTTACCTACATTTTAGAATCATAAAAATTGATTAAAATCTCAAAGTCTATTTCCGACCGATTAATTTTTAAATTCAAAAGTCGTTTAAAAAATTTTTTTATTTAAATTACAATTTCTATAATTTATCTTTTTTTAAAGATTTATACAATTAAAATTTGGCAGCAGCCATGGAAAAATTCTGAAGAAGTAACAATTACTGAAGGCGAAGAACAATAAAATTAAAGATTAAATATTTAAATATTGGCTAGATTTATTTTTAAAAATTCTCCAATATTTTTGATTCTTTATAATTTAAAAAGTGTTAAGAATAAATTATTTAAATTAATTTTGTTTTAATTATAAAAGTAGGGCTGTCCGCAATTGAGGATTGCATGAAATTGTTTTTTTGACTTGTAGATTGCGTGTCGCGAATTTTAAAATTAAAATTGCGGATTGCAGCTGGAAAATTTTTTACAATTGCGGACAGCCCTGGTACATAGTAAGGTGGTAATTAAATTGTTAAATTTAAATCTAATATTAAATATATCAACTTTCAAATATACACTTTCACCAGTCTGCAACAACCCCCCAGGGATTCTTCCGTTCCAAGCAAAATTTTGTCAAGTTTTTAGTCAAATTCTGAATCTATACTTGATGTGAAAAGCCGATCCTTAACGTGCAATTGCTGTACTAATATTCGATTTACTATTTAATTATTAAATACCTATACTCATTATTTTGTTTCTCTTTTCCCTCCCTTTTTTTATTTAAAAATTCAATGTGGCAATAATAATAATAAATATAAAAATCAGCAGATCCTCTCCTTATTTTTCTCTTTTTAAAAAGACAGTTGTTTAATTTTCTTTAGCGTGTGCATTGTTTTGGTCGTTTTGCTAAAAAAATAAATTCTTGAGACTTTTTGTGTGTATTTAATGGACGGCACTTAAAAAGGTAAAAATAAAGGGAAGAGACAGATGGCAATCAACAAAAATGATCTAAATAATAGATAAAACAAAAATACCTTCCTTTCCTCAATTCCTTCACTTAAATTTCTACACAAAAACAGCAAAAAATAAAAAAAAAATTAACACTTGCAAGAAAATAAAAACATTTGCGGTGGCAATTTAGTAAGTGGGCAACAAATAAAATTAATAAAAACCACACAGACACAATTAACACCTTTTTTGTTTTTAAATATTTTTTTTATTATTATTCAATTAATTACATATATTAAAAATTAATATTAAAAATTGATTTTTAAATATTTTTTTAATTTGGTGATCCACCCAATCTTTAAATTTATTAACATATTATTCACACCGTAACGTAGAGCGAAACTGATTTAAAAAACAAAGGATATTTTGTTAATTAATTGCTAGATAGTAATTGACACACCCTTGCTAAATAGTGTCAACTTCGTTTTAAGGAGATCCCTTCTAACTCATTCGAATTATATCAATATTAGCAAGTTAAACGATCCAAAAAGGGCATGATTCGCAGGTTCAAATCCTGCCCTGTGGCTATTTGTTAAACTCTTTCTGTATTTTGACAAAAAAAATTATTTTATTTTTGATTTATTCACTTACTTACATATAATTTTTTTACTTTTCTGTATTATATTTTAACACTCTATTTGTATTTTTTAATAAAATTTAATTTAATTTATTTTTAAAGAAAAATGGATGGTTTATTATTAATACTTTTATCCTGGTTTGTTGTCTCTTTAATTTGTTATTTTTTTATTCTTCGTTATAATCGAAGAAGGCAAAGTATTACTACAACAATTAATAATAACAATAGAGGACATCAAAATGAGGGAAATGAAAGGTAGAAAATATTTAGGGAAAAATCTTTTGTTAATTAAAAATATTGTTGGAGGGATGATTCTTATTATTTTAATTTTTATTTAAAAATAAAAGGTTGTGGATAGAAAGTGAAGTTTTTTGTAGAATGACCTGCGACCTCCTAGCAGCATTTAAAATGCTTAGGTAGGGGTTAAACGATCTAAAAATGAAAAAGAGAAAGCATTAGTCGATGCCCCGGTAGCTCATGAGTTCCTACAAGTGGTGAGCGAAAGCGCCTAGCTATAGCTGCAAGGAGGTCGGCGGTTCGAATCCTGCCCGGGCTAAACCCATGCTAAACTCTTTCTATTTGCAAAATCTTTCTAATTAAAACGAGAGCTTTGGGCGTAATTTTATTTTTGAGACTAATTTTTGTTCTTATCGTCTATATTCGTCTTTTAAAATTTCTGAGAGAATAAAAAATATTTTCATCATTTTTAGTATTTTAATGCACGATGTAGCAAATTGGCTAGTTTGGGGTACAGGAGAAAAAGGGGCAACAATTAATGAACAATTTGCTAATTTATTAACAAAGAGTTTAAATGAATCTTCAAAAAGATTACAAGAACAAGTTTAAATAAATAAATAAATTTAAATTAATTTTAAAAAAATTAAAAAGGGACAACCAGAAATGCATTTTGATGGAGTAAAGCTTCAACAAAGTTCGGCTAATTCAACACTTAGGGATTTTCATGTCAGGCCTAATCGTTCTCCCGGCAATCACTTGGTTTGTTTCTTTAAAGAGATTTAAAAGTTTATTTAACTCTGGCTATATTGACAAGTTTGTTAGAAAGTATGTAGATGGTCTGTTAAACAATAAGTGAAGGATGGGAAAAATTTTTAAGTGGGAAAATTTTAAAAAACGTGAGGGTCCTGTCATTTTTTTGGTGGAGACACTAATTTAAACCAATTTTTTAATTAAAAACAATTTAAAGTCAATAAGTGGAAAAGTTTATATTGAAAATAAAACAACTTTATTAAATGAAAATCAACCTAAAATAAATCTTTTGGTTACAATTTATGAACAACAAATAGATAATTTAAATAAAGAAGAGGAATTGAAAAAAACTTTAACAATTGAACATCCAAGAAATTATAGAATTATTATTGACGAAATGAATGGGGAGGTTAGAATTGATTATTTTATAAAAATTTAATGTAAAAATAGCTAGCTGATATTATCTGTTTATTTAAAAACTATTAAGATTTAATATTAGATCTTGGCTAGGAAGCATAAAAGCCTTGAGAAAATTTACAAAGAACTCTCGCTCTAAAAATTATTTATATTATAGCCGTTATTTAAATTTATCTGATTAAATTTCGGGTAAACATTCAATTAGAAAATAAAATAAATTATTAAAAATAAGAAAAGGAAATTAGGAAATTAATTAAATTAACGGTACAGGAAAATAATGTTACTTACTTAAAATTATTTTAAAAATTTTATTTTAAAGGCAGAAGTTCGTTTAGCCCAAATAGCTGGAGAATTATTTATTATTGCCTGTTTTAGTGGACGTCCAGATGTTAAATTAAAAATTTTAGAACCTACAGCAGAAAAAGCAATGGAGAATTTTGTTGTTGAATTTGCAAGGAAATGTATTCTTGGGGCTGTTTTAAATTTTAGTTTGGGGGAATTGTTATATCCTGATGAAGAATCTACTGCTAGGGTTTGTGTTTAGATTGGGGTAGCTTCCTGTCCCGCGTACCCTGACAAATTTTTTGACAAAACGCCCGACTCGAAGCCCGAAGTCTCTACCGCGGCAAACCCCGATCCCCGACGATCCGACCCCGAAGACTCGAGGAGCTAACATATTTTAAATAATTGCTAAAAAATTAAAAATTTTGTCTATATTTTAAAAATAAAAATTATTACCACCCTCTCATTTATTAAAGCAAGGATAACCTAAGGGAAAGTAGAAATCTGTTTCTGAGTTAATTACATGAATGTTACCCTAATTACAAAGCTTAAATAAGAGAGAAAAATCTTTCTTTGATTTTAATATATTTTAGGCTTCCCGAGCTCGGCTTAGTGCTGAATATCGAAATTTGAGTTTTCTACAAGAAGTTTATCCATCTGGGCAGAGAGAAGAAAATATTCATTCATTACAGGCAAATTTGAAAAAAAAATATTTAAAAAAAACAAAATTTATTTTTAGCCACAAAGATTTCCTTTGGCGGAGGGAGAAATAGCTTCATCCGAACATTTAAGAGAAACTCATTTTTTACATATTCATTTGATGGAATTACGTGAATTACAAGGTAATATTTAAATTACATAGAAAACCTATGTTGAAGAAACAAATACTTTAATAAATATCCAAAAAGCTTTTTCGAAAAGATTCGTAAAGTAAAATTAAGAAAAAAGCAAGAAAATGGCTGCGCCAAAGTATGCTGCGCCAAAATGTCAAAAAATAGCCTAAACCTATTGAAGCCTAAACCTTTAGGATTTAAGCAATATTTCGGCGCCGCCAATTTGGCGTCAGAGCTTTTACTAGCTCTATAATATTCGAATTTAACAAACTTTATAATAGATTATAATATCATTCAAGAGCTAATTTTGTTAATGAATTAAAAATAAAAATTTCTTAATGGACTAGCTATAATTAAATATACCACTATGTATTAAGGTTATCCTATGTATTAAAGTTATCCATTAATCCTACTTTTCATCCTTCCCCTTATGTTAAATAACATAATCTGATAGTTGAAATTCTGTATATTATTCTGTACTTTAAATTTCTATATAATTTTAAAAAATTGTTTTTAAAGAAAAAAGTTATAAGCTACAAAAGTGCCTGGCGCCAAATCGGCGGCGCCGAATAATCTACTATTTTTCCTTTGTAATTTTAAGGCGTAAAACTTGCATCCTAAAGGTTTAGGTTTTATAGGGGAAAACGAAATTGACGATTCGGCGCAAAACACTATTGGGCGCCAAACTTTTTCCCAAGAATTACTCGTCTCCGTTCCATTCTTTTCTACAAAAATAATTAATTTCCCTAATATTAGACGGATTACTCAATTCTTCAAACGAACGTCCATTTGTTTGTATTGAATTAGACGAACCATCTTCAGAACGTTTTTTAAGTCCAAAGGGACATTTGGATGCACACAGCGGTAATTATTGGTTTTGGCATGATGGGGAAGCAAATTTCGAATTGGCAATAGCTCCAACTGGAGGGGAATTGCTATTTGAATTATTTACTGAAACACCTTCATTTCCAAATGAAAAAGAACTAGATTTACCTCCAACAGCTATTTATGGAACTGTTAGGCAAAGGTGCTTTTATTAAAAAAATTAAAAAAAAATACAAAAATATTTTTAAAAATATTTTTTCAAAAGTATTTTTATTTTTTAATTTTTTACAAACACAAGAGAAGCAATTTTAAAAAAGTGGGCTCAGCCGGTGATCGAAACCGGGACCTCTTGCACCCTAAGCAAGAATCATACCACTAGACCACTGAGCCGCTGTACGAAATAAAATAAAATGAATATATAAAATAATCCTTTTATCTTCTTTAAAACAAAACCAGTTCAGTGAAAATAAGGAGAAAAAGCCCGAATTATTAGCAAAATATTTTTTAGTAAAATTATTATTTTTTTGTGTAATCTTTAAATTATTATAGTTAAATTAATAATTTAATAATCAGTTTTTGAGGCGTTTCCTTGGAATGGCAATCTTAAAAATTTCTGAACTTCGTCGAATAATAGCTAGACAACCACTTAGTTCTCCAGTACATTTGCCTTTACAGGGAAAGGGATCTGAACAAAAAGAAGGAAAAAATATTAAAAATGTTGATCAAAAACGTGGACTTCTTTTATTTCAGGTAATTTTCAACTTCTTGTCCCATAAACAATTATTTGTTTCACGGAGTTTTTTTTCACTCTCTAATACCAAAACTAAAATTATATACTACCTCTTGATCTGAGATAATTTTTCTTAATTATAAAATACAGGAAAAGTGGATATTTGTAATTTTTAATATTAACAAATAGATTATTATTAAAAATTTCCTTTAACCTCAACTATAAATTTTTTAGTTTTTTGTGATTTCGAAAACATGCCTTTAAAAATTGGTTTTTAAAAACTCAGATTACGGTCGTTCGATTCGACAATTTGTCGATTTTGATCTATTTTCTAGACAGTCAAAAACCAGAAAATCGTTTATTTATTATTTTAGTGTTCATTTCATCAACGTTCATTACCTTTATTACAATTAAATAATCCAATAACAATACCAAAAGAACAATTTAATAATACCAATAATATAATAAATCAACAACAACAATTTAATAATATACCTCAATACAAAAAAAGTCCAACAAGAAGTCCAAGTAAAAAAAGTTCAATTCCATCATTGGGAAGTTTAAAAAGGAGAACACCCAAACCCGTGCAACAACATTATATTTATAATGTTACTGAGGATAGATTAAATAATAATTTAAATAATAATAATAGTGATAATGTAGAGAAGGCAAAACAATTACAGCAACAATTAGAAAATGAAAAACAAATTGTAAATTAAATATTTATTTATTTTTGAATTATACTAGGCTTAATTAAATTTTAAAAAATTATGGTTCCATAGAGGTCTAAAGAGAGTATTATATCTATGAAAATGAATGTGTCATGTTGGGGGGGGGGGTACTCTTGGTGGAGAATCTGTAATATTATAATTTTAATTAGGAAATATTTCGCTCTTAAGAACTGGACTCGTGTTTTCAAAGAGGGAATAATCAGTTACTAGTATTTCTCGAGTAATTTCGGGGACGTAATGATTTTGTCTAATGATTTTGTTGTCGGTTCTGGACTGAACCGAGGATTTCTCGGTTCGTTTCTTCGGTTCGGTTCCGGATATTCGAAGATTTTCCAATAACCGGCAACCCTAGACGTAGTAATTAAATCTTCTCATTGTCAGAACCGATGATTTAATTAACAAATTATCTATTTCTCTTTTTAAGCATTACAATATGAGAGCAACAACAGCAACAAGTGATGAGGAAAGTTTAATGCCAAAACAATCATTTGATACAGCGAATGCTTGGAGTAGTCCAGAGAGACAATTAATTGAAGAGGAACAAAAACAACAACCACAAAATATTTATAATTTACAAATTAGAAAAACTATAAGTGACAGCAATGCTTTATTATTTAAATATGAACAGAATGGAACAAATAATAGAAAACAGAGTGCTCCTGGAACACCTCAAACAACCCAAAGGGAAGAAGAAAAAGAAGAAATATTAAAACAGCAAGCCGTTGAAATACCAAATGGAGGTAATTTTTGATCAAAAAATATTTTGAAATAATATTGGCTGACATGATACCTGAGATTTACAGCTGCTTCTTTCCGCTAGTGTAAATTCCTAAACCATATCTTAGATTGGATACATTAGATAGAATCTTAAATGTGGATTTTAATGTTAAAATAATTTTTATGTTAAATTTATATTCTAGATTTTAATTGGTCCTGGGCCGCAAATGTATTTCAGTTCATAAATATAGCTTGTAGGAAAATATAGCTTGTAAATATAGCTTGTAGGAAGGCATGGGAAATGATCCTTTTTCCAATATTCCGAATACTTTTGTCTGAAATAGAAATTATACTTTTCCCGTTTCCTCTCATTTTTATTTTTTTCCCATTTATCTCCTCAAATCCATCTATATTTTCGTCATTAACTATCAATTTGTTATTTTCTCAATAGCTTTAATTTTTCTCAAATTCCTCAATTTCATTCCTCAAGTTCAATAACCTCAAAATAATTTTAATAGTTAACAATCAATCTCCACCACAACATCAAAATATTTCTGATAATCAAAAACGAAAACCATCCAAAGAAGTAAATGATCCACAAAATGCTAACGATGCTTATGATCACTTATTTAATGGAATGCGTGCCCCAAATGCAGCTGCAACTGCAGCAACACATCCTGCCATGGAAATTTTCCGATTACCTGCAGAGAAAGAAACGAGTGTAACTGAAGATGCGGATGAATTAAGGAGAAGAGCCAAGGGTTTGGAAAATGAAATAAAATTCGAACAATTTTTTAAATAGATAGGGAACGGCAAGCAAGAGGAAGGAAGGAGCGAAGAAATTTTTTTGAACAGATTCGTGCTCGTCTTTCAGGTAGCGATTGACAGTCCTTTATCCTGTTAGAGTTTTCTAAAATTTCAAAAAATATTTTTAGGTCCCCTTAGGCTATTTCCTGGAAGACAGAGTCAAAGAGCTAAATCTCTCGACGACTACGAACAACATTTAGAAGAAGCTGCTGTTTCAATGCCCCAATCACGTGACCAATCCCAACAAAGAAAAGCAAGTGGTGGGGGCCTTCACGAAGAACATATTCGACAACAAAGATTAATACAATCTGCTGGTAAAATTTTGAAAACCAAATAAAATTTTTCCTATTTCAAAGGCCCTTCAAGTATGGCAACTTCAACAGCAAATTTAATCTCTTCCTCTTCTCGGCAACATAACGTGATGAGTCGAAGCCATTCACAAAGCCAACTCGTTCTAGAATTAATTGGCCCAGAGGAGGAAGGACCTAAGTAATTATTTATTAATTTGGAACTTATTTTAGATAGTGATATTATTTAATAACTCAGACCTTGTTATAAGATATGCTTCTCTTATGTATTTCTAGGAGTTATTATATATTATCTTTTAAAATTTTACTTAAATTAAAAGCACCGCTTGCCCACACAGTGCCTCTCTAAATTAAGAATAGCATAAATAGGGGTGTATCTAGTACTGGGTTTATTTTATAGTATGGGGTCAGTCTGTATAAATTAAAATTTAATAAAGTAACTTCCCCTCGTAAATAATAAATAAATTTACACATATATTTTTAGATATTACTCTATCCCAGCAGAAATATCTAATGAACCAGCGGTTGTTAAATTAATGCAAAGTGGCAAAAAATTACATATTTTAAATTCACATATTTTAGTTGCGTCAAAATCACGCGGGTAAATTTTAAAGAAAAAATTTGTTTTTTTTAATTTTATTTCAAATAGACGAGTTATTTGTTCTGTTTGTAATAAAAGGATTGGTGGGAACTTTTCTACAAGACAAGCATATCAATGCAGAGGTAATTTTAAAAAAATAGAGAAAAGATTTTTCATATCTGCTATCTACCAGGGATGGGTCGGGTGGGGCGAGAAAGTCAAGTAAGGTTTCAGATCGGGCTTCCAAAATTTTCTTCGGATCGGCTTTCCCTGATACCTACATTAAAATTATACAAATGAAATTTTCTACTAAAATTTTAGACTAGATACAATAAAATTACCATATTCTGGCAATGGAAATTTTTTTAGATTTTCAAATGAAAAAGGGGCACTTTCCCTAACTCCCAAAATAATTTTTTATTCAAAAAAATTTTCAGATTGCCGCATAATTTGTCACAAAAACTGCCATCAACAAATTGACTGGAAATGTGAAAATTCTACAAGTATTTCTAATTTACTTGTAGAAGAAGTTGATTGGGCTGAATTTCTTCGGCATCACCAATTAAGGGAATTTATATCTGTTGGGAATTTGTGACAGAAAAAACTTAAAGATTTCCCCTTTCTTTAACCTCACGATTTAATTGAAAATTTAAAACAGAAAATCAACACTTAAAATTTTTGATTTTTTTTGGTACTTTTCCGTTATGACGTAACCCCCTAAATTAATGTTCAAAATGACATATATAGGGTAGAAAAAGGTGCTGAGTCGAACGGTACCACTCTTTTTTCACGAAGATGCCTGTGGACCGAGATATAGGGCTCGAAATGGTCAAAAACCATATGGGGGAGTGCGCCTCGCCTACGCCCCATAGGTTTACGTTGTCCATTTTGAGCTTGTTAATCTCGTCTCAAAATCAAGATTTCGAGCTGATTTTGGTGTCATTTGACTCAGCTCGAGGAGCTCTTTCGAATGAGCTATCATTCAAAAAATGCAATTTTTCACTCCAAAACTCCCCCCTATGGTTTTTTACCATTTCGAGCCCTATATCTCGGTCCACAGACATCTCCGTGAAAAAGAGTGGTACCGTTCGACTCAGCACCTTTTTCTACCCTATATATGACACTTTGAACATTAATTTTGGGGGTTACGTCATAACGGAAAAGTACCTTTTTTTTGTTTAAAAAAATCTTTCTGATTTATAAAACAAACAAAAAGGCCCTAATAAAAGCTTGATTAACTAAAAGTGTTTATCTCCTGTTTAATTAAAAATTTAAAAAATTTTTTTAACTTGTTTAAAATCGATTTTTAATAAAAAATTTTTTTTAATAAATTTAAATAAATAAATATGTATGGAGTAGAGAATGGTCTAATAAAATAAAGTAAATAAATTTAAAACATGAAAAACGAGAAGAAAATTTTTAGAATTTGTCATATGCATAACATTTAAAAATTTTGTAAACTTCCTTTTAAATTAAATTTTTTGTCATTTAACTTATTTAAATTTTTAGGTTAAATTTTCAAAGCTGCAATTATTTTTACTGTAAAATTAAATAAAAAAACACAAATTTTTGGATTCAATTCATTAATTTTTTAATAGCCTTAAAAATCTCACTTGGATACTTATCTTTTAAAATAGATTTAAATTTTGGAGTGCTCTTTTTTATTTACGCCAATGCGTGCATTTAATGGAACGCGGACATTGCAAAAATTAAACTTTTCTTTATTAAATTCTTTCTTCTTTTCACATACTTATTAGAATTTTTAGCCATTCTGTCATTTATTAATAATAATGTGTATGCAAAAAAAGACTACCTAATAAACTTTTGGCATGAGGATGGGTTCGAATCTAAACTTATGGAAAAGTTTAATTTTGTTATTCATTCCAAAAATAAATAAGTTTAAATCTTAAACTCTAGTACTTCATTTTGCGGAATCCTAAATAATTATTGTGAAATCCTTTCTTTCACTTATTTTTGTCTACGACAATCTTTATGTACATTCAAATCCTAATTTAAATTTCCCATTTCCATCATTTTTTCTGTTTGAATGTCACTCCCAAAATTTGAATTCAAAAATTATTTTTCCCTAAATTTTCTTTTCACATACTTATTAGAATTTTTAGCCTCCATAAAAATGTTGATTCTTATAAAAATAACAGCATTTATTCCAAAATTACCCATAATTTAGTTTTCTCTCATTTTTAAAAATTTAGATTTTTTCCTATCGTTTCTTTTTTAGTTACTGATTTTAGAATGAATTCTTTACCAATCGAAGCAAAACTTGATGTTTTAAAATGTCTAGATTTTAATCAACTATTCTCTTTTAAACAAACGAATTTTTATTTTCTCAATTTAATTACTAAATACAAGGAGGAATTGGCACTAATGAAATTTAGTTATTTCTCGATAGTAAATACCTAATTTAGCTACATTTACTTTTAATTTATATCTTAGATTGAAGAAGATCGAGAATTACATTCATATGAAATTATTGAAATTGAATCCGGAATTTTTGATATTTCTTTGAATGATAATATTTTGAAGAAGGTGTTAAATTAATAATTAATTAAAATACCGTATAACCTGTATTAATTGCCCTCTCTCGAATATCTATCCCACTTCATTAATTACCCCATCCACCGATGGACTGAAACATTAATTACCCTCCCCCCTCCCCTCTCCCAACAAATGCACTAAAACACGTTCAAATTTTAAACCTCGTATAATTACCCTCCCTCGATCAATTACTCCCTCCAGCGGAAGGTCGAAAAAATAATTACCCAGGGTAGTTATTAAAGGATATACGTTATACATTTATCTTTTTTAGTGGCAAGCAGCAATAGATAAATCAATCCCTTTGTTTTTACATAATTTCGAATCAAACAAAAAATTTATTGTTTGTTTGCAGAAAACACTGTGGTTTGGTGTGGGCAATATAAATCCTCGTTATCATCTTTTAAATTTGCCAAATTTTCCGAAAAATATTGAAGAAATGATTGTTATTCGGTGTTGGTTAGAACAACTTTTTAATTGTTCTTTTGATTATGCTCATTTTAATTACGTTGTTTTTAATCCGGAAATGATTGATTTACTATTTGATAATGACGAAACAATTCCAACACAATTTCACCTTCAAACGCCTTATATAATTTCTGGAGATAATATATTTGAGGATGTTTTCAAATTTGTTTTAAATCATTTACCAATTTCTTCATTTATTAAAATAAGTTTAAATGAAGTCAACATTTCAGAGCAGCATATGGATATTTTATTTAATATTCTAGTAAATGAAGGCAAAAAATTATCTCAGATAAGTTTAAAGGGTTCTAAGTTGATGAAGCTTCATGATCTTATTATTAAAGTAAGTTAGGTATTAACAAGACATGGAATAAATTTTAAATTTTAGTATGTAACAACATCGATAGACTGTTCAAAAGTGGTGGATTTCATTGCTCTAGATCATGTTCCAAATTTTAAATTGGGGGAGAAAAGTAAAAAATTTGAAATTACAAAATTCGGTGTCTTTGAAGTTACTAATAGTTATGAAGTTGCCAATATTTACAATCCGCAAGTGAGATTTTCGACTGAGAACATTCGTGATTTAACATTTATAAAAAGAATATATTAGAAACAAGGTAGAAATTTATTAGATGCATTTTCTATAATATTTATTTTCGGTAGAATTACCCTTTTCTGCTTTTGGTTCCCTTTCCGCAACAACATTAATAGGAGTTCTACAAGTACTGTTATGGCACCTTTGCTTCCCGTGTTTAAGTCCAAGAACGTTGAGACATGCTTCAAAATTGTTTCGATTAACGGAGCTGTTCATGTAGAGAGCTTTTGATGGAGACGAGATTGATGGAGACGAGGAACATTCTTCTAAACTTTGCCAGAAACAGAATTTGTTTTGTGTTCATTTTCTATTGACTTTTGATTAATTATTTTTTATTTTGTAAAACTTCTTCATTTTATTTAAATTAAAATTGTTTTCGTTTCAAAAATATTTTATTAAATTCTAATTTTTATTAACTTTTTTTTCAATTTTAAGTATTTTAGAAAACAACTTGTCTAACTAATTTGGGTATAACCGAAATGAATTTGCCTCCAGAAATAATTCTTGATGTTCTTAAATTTCTTAACTTTAATCAAATGACTTCACTAAAATTAACAAACAGCTTCTTTCTTTGCCTCATCGACGAATTTGAAAAAGTGCTTCCTCAGATGGTATTCAAACAACTAAGCCTCGTACATTTTAGTTATAAAACTAATAATTATTTTTACATTATTAGCTTTCCGTCAGTAATGATGAGTTAATGGAATATAAATGTATTGAACCTAAATATTTAAGTCTTGAAATAACTGATCAACAAAGAAAAAATGTATGATTATGTTTAAAATTTGACTAGGATTATTAAAATGTGTTTAATATACATATTAATCTATTAGATTTACTACCAGATATTAAATTGTCGAAAATTGACTGATTCCTATGAGAATCTTTTAACTTAACCATAGTTTCAGAAAATGATCGAAAAATCCTCTCCCTTAAAAATAAAGTAAATTTTACTAAAAATTAAAACAGAAAACAGTAAAAATATTTTTAACTGAAAATCAAAAATGCCCTTGATAACATGCCGAGAACAACCCTAATTTTAATTTTTTATAGTGGATAGAAATCGTCGAAAAATCAATTCCTGCTTTTTGTTGTTCTGAAATTAATTCTAACGAAGAAAATGTCATTATAGAATTAAACTATAGTGAAGGTTAACTTTTTTAATGATCATTGGGAATGGGCCGAAATAATATAAAAATTATGATTTAATAATATAAAAATATTATTCTCGAAAGTTTGGAGCTAGGCAAAAAAAATTTTTGAAATTGACTATCTTAATTTCCGGATAAACTTCCGTGCCCGCTTACGAGCTATTCAGGTTTTCCTTAACCCTGTTGAAGCCCATTTTAAAAAAAAATACTAAATATAGACAGTAAACTATACTAACAATTTTTTAGAGAAAACTTATTATATAGCAATAAAGAACTTTTCGGAGACAATTGAAGAGCTCAATGTTATTCATTATTATTGGGATCAACTTTTTAGATGCATTTTCGAATCCTCAGAACTTATTTCAATTGTTTTTAATCCAAAGATGATTACACTATTATTTAATGAGAAGAGATATTTCTATTTTAAATTTATTTCTATAGACTTGCATCCTCTACACAATAATATTCTAGATTTATGTCGATTCGCTACAGAAACATTAATGGTCACCAAGTATTTAAGCATTTATTTTTCTTCATACTACAATTTTGGAAATGAGATGAATATTTTATTTAATATATTAATTAATGAAGGAAAAAGATTTACCTCAATTAATTATTATAAAATTAAATCACCATTAATTGAGCGCATTATACAAGTATGATTATATTTTGAGTAAAAGTAAAGCTTGTATTTCTTTCCTAAATTCCCTCTATCGAAATCCTCGCTAAAATACCTATTTTAAATAATTTATTCGATACCAGATTAGAGCGGCACGTTTAAGAAAGTTTTCAATAATTAATATAACAATTAATTATTGAAGACGTGTCCGC